CCGTGCAATCAGTCGACCTTATCGCCTGAAGAAGACTAGCAGTAAGCAGTCGAAACGTCGCGATCTACATCTCAAGTGACTACATCGTGAGACAAACGATAATACACTTTATTATTAAAAAGCATGTCGTTGAAATCCTCTAAGGTCACGCCAGGAAACAAGGCGGTCTCCGCGGTTAATTTTGTAACGTAAAAGCGTTTTAGTGTGGACGGAAAACATTTTGAAAACGGAGCTTTTCGAAAACGACGGCGTCACGATAATCACGATATTCCCTAATCCGAGTTTTCCTCAAACACAAACCCAAAATGGCCGGTGATTGTTGCGTTTTCAAATTCCTCGGGCGCAGTGTAGGCGGGGCCTGAGTTTGGCAGCGTGCATTGACTAGTTACAACGTAATCAAATAAATGTGTCCTTGTTTGGTGACGGATTAGTGTGGAGGGTGGGCTAAGCCTGACACTAGAAATAAAGCTGCGTTTTCAAATTTCTCCGGCGTAGTGTGGGTGGAGTCTAAGTTATCGAAAGCATGTGCATAATGATCAAATAACACACGCCCATGGAGCGTGCAAAGTTTACTTTTTCACGGAAGAGGAATTTGTATGCACTGGCAATGTTAAATAACATTTGATTCATGTTTTAAGGTCGTGCATTATCGAATTGTGATGCTTGGGAATCAAGAGGCTGGAGTTGCCAAATCTTATGCTTCGTTAATAGGCCATTTTACAGTTGGGTGCTCAGTCACCTGGCCTATGAATGCAAGCAGGACTGGAGGTGACTGCTTTAATACAAACCTCTTTGCTTTTCTCATTTAAATGCAAACTAGTTAACATTAGAGCAACTTAATTTACACAATAAAAGCATTAGGGTCTGTGTCAAAACAAGGTCACTTCCACCTTCGAGCTTGCTGCCAGTCAAAGGCCAGGTCACTGAGCAGACAACTACAAAATGGTCAATTCTTTCCGAAAATTGCTTTCCAAAATTCCCGCTTGCATTGTAACTCGATGATGCGTGTTAAAGCATGGAGAAATTGTACGACAGGTGTACGACAAACTCAAGATACAAAGCAAAATAATTTTCTGACTTAATCGCAGAGCTGCACGTCAACCTTTTTAAAGTTAAATAACAGGAGAGAATACAAACCTGACGCTTACATTATAACAATTACAAGCCATGAGCAGACTGTTAATGCAATTTACGACAGCTCGGAATATTACAAATTGCGATAAGTGCGTTGTTATAGAATGCGAACAGAATGTGACAACAATTTACGCAACAACTGTTATTACCATCGACGAAAACTTTTCACTTCCGGGGAAGTCGTCATTACACGAAAGGCAATGACGAATATATAAAAAAAGTGACGACACCATGGCCAGTTCAACAAACGCGTTTATTTTAAAGTCCAGTGATTTATCCGTGGAAAATTTGAAAACAAAATGAAATATTCTACACCAAAAACCAACAAACGACGCTTTGAGAATGTTTCACATATAAAAATAAAATGTCTGATTTGGAAACTGTATGGTCTTGTATGTACATATGATACATGTGTTACTAACAATTTACAATTTATTTCAAGACAGCTGTTTCACAAGGTGCAAACTTGAATGTGTTTATTTGGCTGAACGCGACACCAGTCTAACTCCCTTGTATGGAGACGATACTGCGGTGCTTTGCAGCTTCAAGTTATCGAGTATGTAGTTTTTCTTTTGTTTCACAGCTCGGCGTGAGGAGTTGGCGCTGGTGGAGACAAGTTTCGACCGCATGTTAGGCGGGCTATAGTCAGCGGTTGTGCCTATGATGTCATACGTCCACTGTACGTCTGAGGTCTGTGGACAAAAACATTCAAGGAAAAATGTTATTCTTTAAAAAAATGCTTTAGGCAGGAGCCTGACTAACATGCTGCAATTCTAGCTTATGCAATTAAAACGCCGGATTACTGACTAATTCTCATCCATTATGGTTGATCACTTGAGTGAAGCACACGGGATGTTGTTTTGCACATACAATTGGCTATCATTTGATCAATTTAGGTTTTCCGCCTTCCACACTAACTTGGAGTTATTAATATTAATAAATAATCTTTAAGGAGGAGGCCTACGTCAAAAAGTGGTTTACAGAAGGGCCCTCTATTAAGATTGGCCAAGTGAAAGGAAAGCCAATATAAAGGTAGCAAATGCCGATCAAAAACTCAGTCAAGAGACGACAGAACAGCACACCTCTTCAGGACGTAATCGCAAACTAGTTGACCTTCTTGGATCAGAAAACAAAACCCTTACCTGAACCACTAGTTTAGCCTTATGGGTCTTGCCGTATATTTGGGGCTTGTACGCCACCCTGATAAGTGTTCCTTCGCTACCTGCCGGAGCTAGTTCCCCGGATGTAGGAGTGACTGTAAACTCCAGGTCAGAATTGGGAGCGAAAAATGCTTCAAACGCCAGCGTGTGTCTGCAAGAGAATGAAACCAGGTCAGAATTGGGAGCAAAAAAAGCTTCAAACGCCAGAGTGTGTCTGCAAGAGAATGAAAAACCAGATGGAATGAACAGTTTGCAGATGGCATTAAATGACTGGGATACAGCTTCAAAGCGTATTTGAGTCGCTCATTGAAATTGGCCCAAAGTTTTCACCCACTGCGGTGTCTCTCAAGGCATGTCATGTGAAATGCTGACTTACCTCATCTGACTTGTCATCCTGAAGCCCACAACAGATTCTTTGTTCAGTCCAACAGACTCGATTGTGATCGTATCGTCTACTTCTGGTTCAGTAGCTAACACTCTTACAGGAAATCTCCAAACTCCACCAGAGGCCGCCGATATCATTAACTGAGTCTTGTGGCTGGAGGAACAAACAACAAAAAGTTCAATTAGCGACAGCCGGAATCTATTACAACTGCTTTTGACTTCGGATAACCATAATTACAACAGTATTAAACTGGAAACTGATTGGGGGCCGGCAGTTTTACTAAAGTGATGAACTTGACCGTTGATGGTACTCGACAATGTTTGTAAAACTGTGTTAAGGGTAACGGAGGAGAAGCACATGTGCTTTTTCTACTTACCTAAATGGCTTGAATGGTGAAAAGACGAAGTTGAACACAAGAATCACCACTCCTGACACTTGATTCTTGATCTTTCTCAACAGACTCACGCCCAGGGATCGTTCAAGGCACGACTGGCATTCTGCGTCCTCGTAAATAAGTTCGTACCTACACGGGAGGGGATGGCACCTTTCTAAATTAGCAATAGCATCCAACAGATTTCTGAGTTCACCAACAGTTTTTATAAAATACAATTTGTCTCTACTTATCAACTCCCTTTCAAACAATATAATGATTTTAGTTATTGATGCACAACTGCATCGTAGCCTGCTTAGCAAGCGTTCTCGTACGAAGGGCTTTTTCCCCATTCCGGCCGGGCGCAAATTGGAGCGAGCAAAAAAAAAAATCAACGAGGCAGGGCACTGTCGATTGCTTTTTTTTTTTTGCTCTCGCTTCAATTTGCGCGCCGCCGGAATGTGCAAAAAGTTCTTCGTACGGAAACGCTTGCTACGCAGGCTACCACAACCCTATGCTATCGCTTCACAGCATTCTCTGGGATTTTTCAATCTACGATTTGTGAAAATAATGAAAAAAAATAATATCTTCAAAACAATACACGTAAAATTACCTAAACTCTTCTGGCACGTTCAAGTAGTCCACTCCATATTCCATTTCTCCAGGCATATGTCGCCCTAAAAGATTGATGGGAGTAACGCTAGGGTACCTCCCAAAACCTGAGCCGCCGGTATTGGGAGCCAGACCAGTCAGCGTTACCTCCACTCTCTCCTCCACTCGACTGCGAGCCTTGCACTCGATACAAGGGGCTTGAGAGTCTTTTATAGGATGCGACTCAGGGATACCCCTGACGGGGTAAATCCAGTGAAGATCATTCACCATACGCGTGCTCATCACGCTTGGATAGTTCCCATCCCACGTGTCCACCGTGTCTCTGTGGACAGTCACAGTGACCGTGGCCTCGTGCAGCTGCATGCTGTCGGGCGCAAAGGAGATCGGGATATCTAAAGAAGCACCAGGCTCCAAGAGGATACTCTTAGCTCGTTTAAGCAGGAGACAAAATACCGAGTCTTTAGGTTGGCTGTCACTGCCGCGTAAGCTTGAGAACAAGGAGCCTAGAAAAAAAAAAAAGAAAAGCAATTGGCGAAGTTGAAAATGAAGTTTGGTATTGAAGCCCAGGAAAAATAGTCTTTATTCTCTGCCATGAAAGCGTGCTATGTAAACAATCTCGCACATAACAGGAATAACTCAAGTTATCTTGGACGCATTATGTCGACATCTTTCTAAAAACGACACTGAAGTGTCCACGACACATTATGAGCAACAGGTCAAGCATTGCGAGGTAAGCAGTCAAGTCAAGGCTGCAATGTCTTTCTAAACCTGTTGTCTACAGTTAACTGATCACTTACCACTCCTAGACAATAGACGCTCCTTCATAACCACATCCACGATCACTTGGCGGTCAGTGGGGTTTTTAAACGGAATTATAACTGAAGAGTTGCCTCCGAGCTGTGAATAGATATTGATAGGATCCACTGGTCCTGGCATCATTCCTGTACCAGCGGCAAGGAAAACCCAGCTGCCGAGCTGAACAACATTTAAAAGATGATAATTAGGAATCAGCCAAAGTCCGCTACCAAAGAAATCCTTTTCAAAGCTGCTGTCAAGTAAACCTACCATTACTTGTTCAAATCACACACAACAAGGCATGCGAATTACCTGAGGGCACTGGAAGGAAATTTCGGCAGAATGCAGTTTTCCAATAGCAGATGGCGTAAATTTTAGTGGAATTTCTAGCAAACCAGCCGATGGCAAGAGGATCTGTTTAGTATTGTCCAACTCCAAACTGAAGTTAGCTGGGTTTGAGCAATGAGGAGAGAGAACGAGTGACTCGTCTGTTGGATTCTGAAGGCGAATCATCTGATAAGTGGACCTAAAAATACACAAACAGTTCACCTTACCATTACGAACACTGGACCTAAAAATACACAAACAATTCAATTTACCATAACGAACAACGCACAAACAAATTTCTAACCATGTCATAGACATGTCCTGAAAATGAGAACAGTGCATTACTTACTTGCCAATCTCGCAGTGAATTGAGGGAAGGTGTGAAGGTTGAGGAGTGGTTGCCTTGAGTACGAGATCATACCAAAACTCTCCCACTGATTCATGCTGGAAAATCACACTGAAAACAGTACCGACAAGACAGTAGATGAGCTAACAACTTGAAACAGACTTTACCAAAACAGTCCTTTATAACGGGAGCGAAACTTCTAAAATCTAAAAAAGAACAGTTTCTTACTGCTAACCTGCCAGTATATTCACCGATCACCGTTGGGGCAAATCTGATTTGATATATAACTTGCTGTCGAGGGTGCAGAGTGACTGTGGGCTCACCAGACAGAGCCACGCCATCAATAAGTACGTCCATGACAAGTCTCTCTCTGGTAGGGTTAGTCACTGCTATGTCGACTGCGACTACCGAATGCGCTGCACACGTTACCTCCAGGGTCCTCTCAGGATTGGGTGCTGAGGACTGAACTTCTATCGTGTACCACAAACGATAGGGTTGACGTCTGAGATCATCTGAGAGCTCCTGGGACAAACGAGCTTGAGCATCAGGGGACTTTCTGTCAATCAGATTTTCGTCATCGCCTTCAACTCTGCAAATAAGTCGAGTCTGTAAATGGCACAAAGCCTCCACCATAAAATACATCTAATTGCTTTACAATGACAGGAGCTGTGCTAGATAACTCTTAACACCTGAGTACAGAGCATGCCTTAGAAAAGATAAAAGCATGGCTAGATGATAGTTAACCAAACAATAATTGTTTGATTTTGTAGAACTAAAGGCCTCGCTTACACTAACGCGTTTTGAAAACGATGCGTTTTCGTAAAAGCTTTGTGTATACACTGACGTTTTCGTGGCGTTTTCCCCGTCCAGGCGAACACTCGAAAAGGCTGATACGTAATGAGAACGCATTAGTGTAGATTACAATTTGAAAGCAAGGATGGATATGGTTATGATATCAGTAAGGCTAAAATTTAAAATCAGCGTGTTACACACGACAACAGTTAACAACTCAAGTTTAACACCACACAAAGTTATAGTGCCGTGTAGGAATCTAGAATTCATTTGCAGATGCGTTTATCTGTGCTCACCTAAGCGCATCAGAACTGCCTGAGGGCTCCCCGGAGGATAGAAATGAAACAATTCCAGTGAACGTGCCTCGTTTCCACGGTGAAATGGTGATCACGTGTTCGGCAGTCTTTCCTGGGAGGACTGTGACCGACGATGGACCACTTAAGATATCAAGATCGGTCTTGACCTGAAAATACATTACACATTAAATAAGGTGATATATAACTGTGTCTGAAAATAACGATCATATCACCATTTGACATACGTTCATGCTGGTTTTGAGTGAAATCTCACTCCAGAGTATGACTCCGCTTGCACACCACCAGTGTGAGCCACAGCACGCTGAGCCAGTTTGTCTTAAAAACATGTAGCAAGACGCTTTGTAGGACCGTTGATTTCAAGATGAACGTTTAATTTAAAAGTCTTTCTAAAAGAACGCCTCGTGTTTTCACGCACGTTGTGATCCTACAGGTGCTCCTCACTCTACTTACCTGGAAGGTGAGTTTACTTTTCGTTACATTAGGAACTTGCAGAGTGTACGTGGCACTGTCAATAAAAACAAAACAAAAAATCCTTCAGTATAATTTTTCGGCATCTGAATTGTTCCTTATTATCTACTCTGAGATTGCTGAACTAGTAGTAGTAACAATCTTTTATTAGGAAGCTCCATCACTAAAAGTGGTTTACATAGAGGTCCTAATACTAGATATATACTATATAATAATACAATTAAAATCTATAAATTAGAGCTAAAACCGAAATAAATAAATATTTACAACATATACACTGCAGAGATTAAAAAATAAATAAATAAATAAATAAATAAAATAAAATAAAAAAAATAATAATAATAAAAAATAAAAAAAATAATTAATTATAAAAAGCAGAAAAAAGACACTTCTTAAAAAGAAGACCTAAACTGCAGAGATTAAACGGGGAGCCCGGGAAACGAACTAGTACCAGTAATATTCGAATACTTTACTACTAAATTCCCTGGCGCGCAGATTAAAGGTCGTACACCACCAAGGGAACCATAAATATAATTGATGAAAAAGTCGTCCCCGTCAGTAAAAATGAATCAGTGGATAAATCCAATCAATCAGAATATCAAGCAAAACTGCAAGCGAAACATGCAACCGGTGGCAAGCGTGGAAAAACGCGCCTAAGTCAATCACGATTGGTAACCTGTGAATATGCAGCCATCCGCCCCGAAAGAAAAAAGACCAAAATATCTCTCAGGGAGGGCGGCTGTTACGCTGGCTGACGATTGGTAGCATGTTAATATGATTGGTCAGAGCACGCTGTACGTGTTTTTTGAACTATTACAAGCCAAGTTGGCAAACGTAACTTCACAATCTAAACACGTAAATGATTGGCCGGACCGCAAGTCAAATAGTAGATTGCTGACCTTTGTTTGGCAGGACACTCTATCAAGATGTGATCTAGGGGAAGCGGTTTTTGTCCTGTTCCTAGAAGCCTGTAAACCTGCTCTGTGCCATCTAAGGTGTTTGTCAGCACTAGCTTACCCTGAGTAACAAACCAACAAAGGTGCTGTTATAAATAATAAAACATAATACAATTCATATGGCGCATTTTCTATAAAATATCCAAATACGCCTCACACAAATCAAAACACTACAAGAATTAACGCCTTATATAGGTTTAATTGACTGACTAAATGCTAGTGAAATCCCTAAATAAAACTAAAGAAGAACTAAAGAAAGGTTTTCAGTTTAGATTTAAAAAAGGCCCACAGGTCCCATACTCACTCTGCCATTGAATTTTGATACGAACGGGTGGCTGAGAATGACACCGTTTTTGTTCTGACTCAGATTATAATGACTGGGTGGCATGATAGACAGTAGATCAATAATGTAGTTGGCTGCTTTTCCGTTAATGACTTTGAAACACGGTAGTAGAATCTTGAACAAAATGCGTTGACTCACTGACAGCCAATGTAGTTCATGTAGCAAGGGAGTTATGTGGCAGTGTCTAGGTGCATTGTAAATCAGCAGAGCGCATGCCTTCTGGACGCGTTGTAATTTTTGAATCAACCATTTTGGTAGACCATAGAGTAGGCTCTTACCATAGTCGAGCCTACTGGTGATACAGGCGTCCATCAGAGACTCAGTGCTTTCCCTTGTCAAGTTTTTCCTGACGCGTGTTATGTTATAAATACAGAATGCAGCTTTGCAACGTTTCGTGACATGACTGTTTATTCGCCAGAGATTCGTATGTAGCTATCCTTCCAGATTACTTACGCATATGACAGGAACAAATCAAGTGTCAATAAAAAAAAACTCTCACCTCCACTGGTCCCTCGTAACAAGGTTTGAACATCAGGGGGTAGCTGGTAGTCAGGTGGGATTTTGCAACCATTACAGGCGGACCGTGGAACCCCTCCCCCTCTAAAGTGGCCGCCAAATTCCAGTCCTGATTAGTTTGGTTGACCTGCACAAATGAAATAAGTACTAAGGAACTTTTTATTTTTTATCTGCTATGTTTCGATAAGCATTGCAATAGTTTTCAACCAGTTAAGTAGTAAACAAGCGCACATGCAGGATAACGAAAATTAATGAAGAAACTTATCGAATGGCTCCATGGCCGGCTCCATATCATTTCATCTCGTTATATCATGGTTCTGTGTTCACTTAATAACTAGGTTTAGTAAATATATGTTATCAAAAACCATTGGATGCCAAAAGGCCAATTAAAACTGTATAAAAACATGGCTGGTTCCTCCAGAGAAGTTCTGCATTATTTTAGAATGATTGTAAGCTAAATAAGGTTGTGTAGTTTCTTTTAGCTAGAACTGATCAGTAGCTGGTGAACCAAGGTATTTCTTGTCGCTACCAACTGTATTACGTCATGTCTGGTTTTGTCATATGAATAATTAGGATGTAAAATATTTGCATTCAATGTCAGTAACAACCGGGCATACAAGGTTCGTTGTACTTTCTGTTGGACAGGATAACGTTTCGTTTACACACAAGATAACAAAAATATACTTGTAGGTAGTATTTACCACAGGTATATCCTGCGTTACTGACTGATGTGTTGGCGTGATGAACTCCAGCTCTAGAACTGAGCCCTCAGGACACACAGTACATTCCAGCTGATACACTCTTATGTCATACGCAGATTTTAGAGTAATTTGACACGGGTAGTGTCCAGGTCCTTTGGGCTGGAAAAGCACTGGTAATGGAACTGTATCACGCAGTGGCCTGGACTTGACTGCGACAGAGATCGGCTCGACTACAATGAGAATTAAAAAAAGAAACTTCCAAAGTGAAATTCCAAACGTTCCTAGATATCCCTTTCCTTTGTTTGAAAATGTCAGTCTGAAACCAAGTGTTTCAAATTTGGAAAATTCTCCCGACATACTACACCGCTGTTTACTAAGCTGCCAAAAAACGCGTTAATTTAGTGGAACTTAGCAAAACATCGATACAGAGTGCATGCGCACCCTTGTTTCCTCAAGCAATAGAGTTGATAACAATAACGATACGGATGCTAAAAGTGATAATAGGACTGACTGGAGTGCACTTTGATCTGTAATCGTAGGAGTGATAAGCAAAATTCAAGAGGAATTGAGAGAAAAAACGCTAACATTGAACAAAGAGACGTTAACTTACCGCTCTTTCTGCTGATACTCGCTGGGATGATGACCTGAGAAGGAGCCTGAAAGAACTTGGAACTCAATTCTGTTTGGAATGCCGTGACCGCTTTTTCAAGGTCCTTTTTAGTGTTGGTGTCACCAGGGTGCAGGAATTTATCCCCGCCTAGGCCCAACGCTGCCACGCTTGCTGTGACGGTACAACTGGCCAGCGTACCTGTCAGCTTTCGGCGTTGAAGCTCCCTCTCTGACATGCGCTGTTGAGCGGCGATTGCTTGGAATAAAATGAAAGGTAAAACCAACCAAATCAAAATACAATCGTGATACAAAAGATAAAATCACGCAAATTATTTCATACACTCACCTAAAGCATTCTCCCTTGCCTCATTTACGAGCGGAATGTACAAATCTTCCGTAAATGACTCGTTATGTTCGCATTTCCAGTAGACCACTCTCTCATCACCGCCGAACGCTCCCCTACCGCTCCGGGCTGCTGCAGCACTACTAATCCGTATGCTATGGGGGGAATTCGCTACTGGCATCGGGGAGGGGAGGGGGAGGGTGGCGTTTGCTTCAATGCAATAGAGAAACTCGCCAATCTTATCGTTTATAAAGAGAATCGAGCACTGCCTATGACCGACATCAAAAGGTAAAAACTGGATTTGCACTGCTCCTGTGCTGTTGGCCTCAAGATGAATTGTGTTGGCAGGACACCAGAAGGCGCTTAGCATAGGACCTGGAGAAGCTAAAGAAAATACACAAAGCTAAAATCGAGCGAACTGTACGGAGAGAGCTGATAACTGCAACACAACAACGGTAGGCGAAAGCAAATAAATAAGCAATCATTTATCAATGGTTGAAAAATCGAAAAACATACCCTAGAATACGGGAACTACCAATATCTAGGAAGATGCCACATAAAGAATTTCTTAAACCTTGAGCTTGTTCGACCAAGGATATTAACATAAGGAACGCACGGAACGAAACCAAAGTCTCTTGTCTGTGCGTTTGACGCAATTACATCACACAAAGGTCAAGAGACTGGGACCCTCCATTAGGTTAGGAGCAAATAACTTTGAAAGATTATGAAATACTTTTTCAAGGGAAGGATCACCTTAAGCTAAGGATATTCCCGTGCGGCCCTCCCGCACATTCAATAAACCCTAATTTAATCCTGCTATGCTGGAGCCGGCTCACCTGTTACTGACTCAGTCTTTTGTTGTTCAATTTTGGGCGGAAAGTCTCTTCTCGGTGATTTGTTCATTTGTCTGAGATAAACAAAACAGTCAGTAATATGTAACAAATAACTACAAGTGCATGTGCAAATCTTTCTTTCTTCTGACTATTAGCAGTATAAATTCAATGCACGATTCAAAGCCACTGAAGTGATAACTTTCGCGGATTAAACAATAAGAACTAGAAATTCTTTCTTCTGTCTCAAACGTCTTGCCACAAAAGGCACCAGATTCTTTTCCACTATTATTATTATTATTATTATTATTATTATTATTATTATTATTATTATTATTATTATTATTATTATACTAGAAATGTGTCGAGTAAAAATCAAACCATCAATGATATTAGACTCCTTACCCGTGATCTGTTCTTGACTCGACTTTCTTTAAATTCTTGTTGGATTTGGAGAGCTTTGCTTTTGGCGGCGGGGAGGCAGGAAATGAATTTCGAGCTTCTACCAACACGATACGGAACTCTCCGGTCAGCGGGAATGGATTAGTGACGTCAAAATTCACCTTCTGAAGTTCGTAGCATGCTGACTCACTTTTAATTGTTGCCTTAAAGAAATTCATGAATGATTTTTAATACTGCATGGTTATTTCAGGGTTTCACTGTTACTGGAACTTCCAAGTGTTTTTATAGAAAGGCAAGTTTAAATAATTTTTACTTTGGTTGCATTTCAGTTTGACAATGAACTGAGTGTTGTAAAACCAAAACCAGAGTAATCATTCTGGCCAATGACAAATTAGACAGACAATCCAGTGAACCAATCAAAACTCAAAGCAAATACACGTAGCCGAGGCAAAGCGCGGGAAAACGTGTGCGAGTGACAAACGGTTTTGATTTTACTTCTGATTGGGTGAAAAAGTGGTGGAATAGTAATGCAATACCACAGAACATGGGAATTACTTTCGACAGTAATGTGAATTTAACCGCTCTTAGGGGCAATTGTTCCAGATGTCAATGACTTTTAGTCAGACGGCAACTGTGTAGCAATCAGATTCAGACACTGTCGTCTAATTCATTTGCGGGTAACATATCTTTTCTTACCACAGGAACAATGTTGGTGATGCAAGTATCTAAGGAAAACACAAGAGTGTTTCCACACGGACTGCCTTCCCGTTTGCCAACAAGAACTAATGTTCCACTGCACGGTCTGAGAAAGCGGCTCTTGAACTCTACTGGCATCTGAAGGTGTCCTTTAGGAGGAACCTAGAAACAAAAAGAATACAAACTTACATCGTACATATGATCCCGTATTAAAACCAAAGACAAATATATTGTGGGTTCAAAGCGATCACTGCTGGAATCTAAGCACCGTCTGAAAATACCAAGAACAAAGCCGTCTATTTCTATAATGCAACTCCTTTTCATTTCAGGATAACGTAATTCCCTCAAGTCAGCAAGAAAAAATGTCGATTTTGGAGACTCAGCGCACGATAAGCAAATCTCCCAGTCACTCAACCAATTTGCAATTTGGGTATTTTTGCATGTGCCCATTCACCCACTCAATCGTTTGCTCCTTTTCGTTCGTTCATTTCAAGGCCAACCTGTACTGTGTCTCCCATTGGAAGTCGAAAGTCGGCAGCATCTCTTCCCGCCAAAAGAACCTGATACACTAGTGGCTTGGTACTGGGATTCTGAAGTCGAACCTGAAGATAGAAACGATCCCAAAACAGAGAGTATCGATAAATTTCTCTAATGAAGTGTAGCAAAATTATTATGTGAGGTTCACTTCCATCGCTATACAGTGTAAAACAATGTCAAAGTGTATAACTTGACAATAAAAACAAACTTACATGTTTTGTTACTGTGTCGTGTAGCGGACCCTCAAATGCAACAGTTGCGCGTGGCAGGTAGTGAGGCAGCCGCTGGTACAGATGAATGCATAACAGGAGAATTGTGATCGAGTTCGGTTCCGTCAGATCTGTTGGCTGTCACCAAGAGAGAAACAATGCAATAACAGTCATGAAATTACAATAGTACTTTTTACAATAACTGCAGAAATTCTCGCGTGCTCATTGGCTAATTTTCATTGTCAATAAGCGGACAGACACGTGAATTCGTGACTCAACGAGCGCCGAGAGCGGACAATTTGACTATTTGACTATTTGTTATTGTAAAAAAACAAATTGACGGTAGTTTTCATGCGTCTGTCCTGGTTTTGACAATGAATTTCGTCATAAAATTGTCAAAGTAATCTGTGGATTCACTCGGCCAGAGCTACTTTGACAATGTTATGACGAAATTCATGATCGATAACAGGACAGACGCATGAAAAATGCCGTCAATTTGTTGATAACATAAAGAGTACTTCACTTGTACAATGACTTCAGAGAGTAATCACGTTCTCAGCTTCCTTTTGATTAGATTATTATCACGGAACGTGCTGTAACCAATCAAAGCTAGGATGTTTACTTTGGATTTTCAGGGGCTTCACGATTTCCCGCGCCTTGAGTTTCTTCGATATCTAATTAGTTTGTAACTGCTCTTTGTCCCAACTCAACAAATGCTAACACTTCAGCGTAACAAGTAAAATGTGTTGTGTGCTACTTACTCAATAAAACGTAACAATTGTGTTTGATGTCTCCGTTGTGTTCATTATGAACTGACTTATATCAACTAACCTGGATGTCATAGTCCAAGCCTATATGTCTGAGAGCTTCAACAACTTTGAGCACGTTATGAAGGCACTGCTCGGCTTTACTGGGACGAGTGTACATGGAATACAGATGGGTTGAAATCTGCAAATAAAAGAGGGAATTCAACGCGAAACGACAGCATTTGCAAGGTGCGCTGGACGAATGAAAGATGTGCACTAGCAGGTCAAAAACAGGTCCCAAAGTCAATTTGGTATTAATGACAAAAATAAGTTATTTTTACAGATTTGTTATTAGAAATAGAGAAACAAGAGTCTAGATACAGTGTTAATTGTGTGGAGTCAAATAGTTTGGGGAACTAATCGAGGTGACCGTAACCAAAGAAAGAACAGTAGCAAAGTACATGACACACAGACTGAATATCAATACAGGGGCTAGTCGTGCCTTACAGCGGTTTTCAATTAAGTGTCGAAAGTTATCACGAAACTACTTTGGTTTTGGTTTTGGTTTTGCTACAGTTTGGGATTGGCTAAGAAGTCTAACTGGTGAGTAATTGAATTGGTTTGGGACTTACGACATTCGATTGAAAACCGCTCGAACTCGTCTCTAATCGCTGGCCTCTTTTTCCCGTCAGACCTTGCATGAGTAACAAATACGCATATACATGTTTAAATTAGATTATAAACAGTATACCAAGGTTTTCGTGTCACTTACAACAAATGGGACATGCGCGCTCACGAGAGCAGCTAGTACCAGTCCATCCATAAAATCAACATCAAAGTTCACAATCCATCGACATGGAGGGCTGGAACCTACAGTAGGGTCAGTGAACATATCATATAACGTAAAGAGACTTCGGAAATAAGTAATGGAGGAAATGTTGAGAATATCACTGTGAGTTAAGCTTGTGTAGAGCGACTTTATTCTGAATGTATAAAACCAAAAACCTTCGTGGTGACCATGCTAACCAAGACTTCAATGGCATAATAAACCAAGTATACGAAATTACAAAATCACGAAACCGTTTTAAACCTTGCATAAAGAGATAATAGACCTAATTGATCTGCATTGCGGATCTGATTGGGCGATACTAAGGGCAGCATTGGAAGGGCATGTAAACAAACCAAGTGTTTTGATTCGAAGGTATTTGACAAATATCTCACCGCCAATAGCAGCAGGCCAGTTGATGTTCCTCTGAATATTGTAGTGATGATTGATCCATGCTAACAAGATACGCTCTCCCACACTATAAACATTGCTCGTCAGTGGATCGGGATTTACGTCTGGTAAATGAACGCTCTTATTGGGCAACTGAAGCTTTTTAAACTGATGTGGGGTGATACGGCTCAGTATCAAGACCTACGGTAAGATATGGATAAGTGTGACACCAAGTTCAGAAACATTCCTATGCGCTAGTTGACTGAAGCTCTTTAAACTTGGTAACCGGTTGATGCGCTCAGTATCAAGAACTAAGATGAGTTTTTGGACAAGAATTAAGTCTGGTGAAGGAATGTATGTATCGTGTAAGCGGAGCTTGTTTAACTCACGTAGGAGACAAGATCCAGTTCAGAACGCAGGTTTAAGATGAGACATGGTAAAATATCACGTCTAGTGAAGGAATAAGACAACTTTAGCTTGCTGATCTGATAAATGATTAGGACTACAGGCATGTTAGTCTTCTGTATAGTACCTTGATCAGCTGACACAGGATGTGGGTCCACGCCTGAGCTGAGATTGCTTCAAATTGAGCTAATTCAAATTTGCTAGCGCCGCTGTCACTTCGAAAGTCTTCTTCATTCGTTCCTGTGAGTTTTCGATGGATTTTTTGCCAGCGGCGATAATCAGCATAATCTAATAAGTCTTCTGGTTTGACATGGCACAACATTGCACCTTGCGTTCTATTGGTTAGACACAGAGAACAAACTATCAGTATATATGTGTAGTTCATAGATAAAGTTCTTGCCATACCAAGTACGCCCATTATTTCCCCGCTTGCCCGTGTGTGGCACAAAAGGTCCAGAACAGAGATTGCGTATAACCTGAATGAACTGTAAGACTCCACGAGACTAAACAAAAACTGTACTCGAAAGACGACGTGAACAGAATTCAGGCAGATAGCTTTAGGGCACAGAATATAAAGCAACAGCAATAAGCGTAATGGTATTTATCTTCATTGTGTGAAACGAAGAAGTAATTTGGCTATTGCTTGATGAATTAAAAGAATTGTAAACTGTTCNTTTCCACACGGACTGCCTTCCCGTTTGCCAACAAGAACTAATGTTCCACTGCACGGTCTGAGAAAGCGGCTCTTGAACTCTACTGGCATCTGAAGGTGTCCTTTAGGAGGAACCTAGAAACAAAAAGAATACAAACTTACATCGTACATATGATCCCGTATTAAAACCAAAGACAAATATATTGTGGATTCAAAGCGATCACTGCTGGAATCTAAGCACCGTCTGAAAATACCAAGAACAAAGCCGTCTATTTCTATAATGCAACTCCTTTTCATTTCAGGATAACGTAATTCCCTCAAGTCAGCAAGAAAAAATGTCGATTTTGGAGACTCAGCGCACGATAAGCAAATCTCCCAGTCACTCAACCAATTTGCAATTTGGGTATTTTTGCATGTGCCCATTCACCCACTCAATCGTTTGCTCCTTTTCGTTCGTTCATTTCAAGGCCAACCTGTACTGTGTCTCCCATTGGAAGTCGAAAGTCGGCAGCATCTCTTCCCGCCAAAAGAACCTGATACACTAGTGGCTTGGTACTGGGATTCTGAAGTCGAACCTGAAGATAGAAACGATCCCAAAACAGAGAGTATCGATAAATTTCTCTAATGAAGTGTAGCAAAATTATTATGTGAGGTTCACTTCCATCGCTATACAGTGTAAAACAATGTCAAAGTGTATAACTTGACAATAAAAACAAACTTACATGTTTTGTTACTGTGTCGTGTAGCGGACCCTCAAATGCAACAGTTGCGCGTGGCAGGTAGTGAGGCAGCCGCTGGTACAGATGAATGCATAACAGGAGAATTGTGATCGAGTTCGGTTCCGTCAGATCTGTTGGCTGTCACCAAGAGAGAAACAATGCAATAACAGTCATGAAATTACAATAGTACTTTTTACAATAACTGCAGAAATTCTCGCGTGCTCATTGGCTAATTTTCATTGTCAATAAGCGGACAGACACGTGAATTCGTGACTCAACGAGCGCCGAGAGCGGACAATTTGACTATTTGACTATTTGTTATTGTAAAAAAACAAATTGACGGTAGTTTTCATGCGTCTGTCCTGGTTTTGACAATGAATTTCGTCATAAAATTGTCAAAGTAATCTGTGGATTCACTCGGCCAGAGCTACTTTGACAATGTTATGACGAAATTCATGATCGATAACAGGACAGACGCATGAAAAATGCCGTCAATTTGTTGATAACATAAAGAGTACTTCACTTGTACAATGACTTCAGAGAGTAATCACGTTCTCAGCTTCCTTTTGATTAGATTATTATCACGGAACGTGCTGTAACCAATCAAAGCTAGGATGTTTACTTTGGATTTTCAGGGGCTTCACGATTTCCCGCGCCTTGAGTTTCTTCGATATCTAATTAGTTTGTAACTGCTCTTTGTCCCAACTCAACAAATGCTAACACTTCAGCGTAACAAGTAAAATGTGTTGTGTGCTACTTACTCAATAAAACGTAACAATTGTGTTTGATGTCTCCGTTGTGTTCATTATGAACTGACTTATATCAACTAACCTGGATGTCATAGTCCAAGCCTATATGTCTGAGAGCTTCAACAACTTTGAGCACGTTATGAAGGCACTGCTCGGCTTTACTGGGACGAGTGTACATGGAATACAGATGGGTTGAAATCTGCAAATAAAAGAGGGAATTCAACGCGAAACGACAGCATTTGCAAGGTGCGCTGGACGAATGAAAGATGTGCACTAGCAGGTCAAAAACAGGTCCCAAAGTCAATTTGGTATTAATGACAAAAATAAGTTATTTTTACAGATTTGTTATTAGAAATAGAGAAACAAGAGTCTAGATACAGTGTTAATTGTGTGGAGTCAAATAGTTTGGGGAACTAATCGAGGTGACCGTAACCAAAGAAAGAACAGTAGCAAAGTACATGACACACAGACTGAATATCAATACAGGGGCTAGTCGTGCCTTACAGCGGTTTTCAATTAAGTGTCGAAAGTTATCACGAAACTACTTTGGTTTTGGTTTTGGTTTTGCTACAGTTTGGGATTGGCTAAGAAGTCTAACTGGTGAGTAATTGAATTGGTTTGGGACTTACGACATTCGATTGAAAACCGCTCGAACTCGTCTCTAATCGCTGGCCTCTTTTTCCCGTCAGACCTTGCATGAGTAACAAATACGCATATACATGTTTAAATTAGATTATAAACAGTATACCAAGGTTTTCGTGTCACTTACAACAAATGGGACATGCGCGCTCACGAGAGCAGCTAGTACCAGTCCATCCATAAAATCAACATCAAAGTTCACAATCCATCGACATGGAGGGCTGGAACCTACAGTAGGGTCAGTGAACATATCATATAACGTAAAGAGACTTCGGAAATAAGTAATGGAGGAAATGTTGAGAATATCACTGTGAGTTAAGCTTGTGTAGAGCGACTTTATTCTGAATGTATAAAACCAAAAACCTTCGTGGTGACCATGCTAACCAAGACTTCAATGGCATAATAAACCAAGTATACGAAATTACAAAATCACGAAACCGTTTTAAACCTTGCATAAAGAGATAATAGACCTAATTGATCTGCATTGCGGATCTGATTGGGCGATACTAAGGGCAGCATTGGAAGGGCATGTAAACAAACCAAGTGTTTTGATTCGAAGGTATTTGACAAATATCTCACCGCCAATAGCAGCAGGCCAGTTGATGTTCCTCTGAATATTGTAGTGATGATTGATCCATGCTAACAAGATACGCTCTCCCACACTATAAACATTGCTCGTCAGTGGATCGGGATTTACGTCTGGTAAATGAACGCTCTTATTGGGCAACTGAAGCTTTTTAAACTGATGTGGGGTGATACGGCTCAGTATCAAGACCTACGGTAAGATATGGATAAGTGTGACACCAAGTTCAGAAACATTCCTATGCGCTAGTTGACTGAAGCTCTTTAAACTTGGTAACCGGTTGATGCGCTCAGTATCAAGAACTAAGATGAGTTTTTGGACAAGAATTAAGTCTGGTGAAGGAATGTATGTATCGTGTAAGCGGAGCTTGTTTAACTCACGTAGGAGACAAGATCCAGTTCAGAACGCAGGTTTAAGATGAGACATGGTAAAATATCACGTCTAGTGAAGGAATAAGACAACTTTAGCTTGCTGATCTGATAAATGATTAGGACTACAGGCATGTTAGTCTTCTGTATAGTACCTTGATCAGCTGACACAGGATGTGGGTCCACGCCTGAGCTGAGATTGCTTCAAATTGAGCTAATTCAAATTTGCTAGCGCCGCTGTCACTTCGAAAGTCTTCTTCATTCGTTCCTGTGAGTGTTCGATGGATTTTTTGCCAGCGGCGATAATCAGCATAATCTAATAAGTCTTCTGGTTTGACATGGCACAACATTGCACCTTGCGTTCTATTGGTTAGACACAGAGAACAAACTATCAGTATATATGTGTAGTTCATAGATAAAGTTCTTGCCATACCAAGTACGCCCATTATTTCCCCGCTTGCCCGTGTGTGGCACAAAAGGTCCAGAACAGAGATTGCGTATAACCTGAATGAACTGTAAGACTCCACGAGACTAAACAAAAACTGTACTCGAAAGACGACGTGAACAGAATTCAGGCAGATAGCTTTAGGGCACAGAATATAAAGCAACAGCAATAAGCGTAATGGTATTTATCTTCATTGTGTGAAACGAAGAAGTAATTTGGCTATTGCTTGATGAATTAAAAGAATTGTAAACTGTTCCCCCACCCATGGTAAATGCACACACCTCAAGAAAGTGAGCAGTGTAGAGTACATCCAGTGAATCTGACGCACACGGTCAACAGGACATGTTGGGAGACTGGAGGCTAGTGGAATTCCTGGCACTGAGCGACCACACAGATGACCGACAAGATCAAACACTGACCTCACTTCTTTTTTGGAATTGTTATCCCAGTTAGATGTCCTTGCAGCCCCTGTACCACCCATCTGGGGATCACTTGTGTCCTGGAGAGCAGATCGTAAGGTCTGAGGTATAGCTATTGGGTAGGGTCCACCAGACCAGGCCTGTGATGAGAAGTATCTGCACGTGATCAAGAAGGACAAAAGTTTAAAATCCCCTTAAGACCAAGATAACATCCTAACTGTACTGCTCTATGTTAGTTTTAATCCCTTAGTACTCATTTTGCCCGTATTTTTTTTGCTTTTAATATATATAATTAAGTATACTGTTAAGAGTTCCCCGGCTCCTTGGCGCTACGTGTATATATTAAGGCTGATTTATCGAATACACCGAGAAAAACACAGCCTCTCTCACCTCTGCACGGCACTAACGACTTTCCTCATGAACTTTCTTTCATCACTCTCAACTCCAGGTCCCAAAACAAAGGTCGCATTTGTTTCAGATCCATCAGAGACCCCTCGAGCAGGACCCCCATGCTGTGAGTCCCCATGATGGGGCGTGGAGGGGTAGGTGGAGGATGTAGCCTCATTACTAGACTCAGGATATGTTGACGTGCTGATTCCAAAGCTCGTGCTTGTTGCACTAGTGGAAGCTATTGTGGGAGGGCGGTTGGGGGTTATGCATGGCATGAACACAGGCTCCCCAGGGGGATACTCTTGGGCGTCTGTTTGTTTATTTTGAATTGATATTTCTTGTTGTTCACAGATGATGCGGAAGTCTGTTTGGTGTGCGGCCAGGAAAGGATAACACGACAACAAACAATTGTCAGCAGTAGCAGTTATGGGCAGGTCGTACCTACAACGATTAAGAACAAGGTCGTCATAATCGCGACAGAAATGGCTCTAGGAGCCTTTGACAAGAAACATTTACCAGGTAGCAAAATGTTGCAACTTAAAAATTGACTTCATAGTGATGATAGTATAAAATTACAAATTGATCATTTAAACGGCACTCTAGGAATTTAACTAAAGTTTCGTAATGCTACAAGGAGTTAGTCAGTGACGGGGGAGGGGACGGTGCTAGAATGAGACAATTCAACCATCGAACCGAAACAGAGAGAAGATCAGCAATAAAGGCTGTTGATACTCTTGGCCAGCATGGTCTCACTTCTAAGAACAAATCGTGATCTCTAGCAATCCAAATAAACCGCGAGTGCAATCAAATGTGAAGGATATAATTACACGTGTTCTCCTAACAGTGTCACAAAATATGCGAAACTACATAATTCACCGAGTTGGTAAAACATACTTTTCCTTTCCATCTGTGAAGACAATAGCTGTGGTGAAGGTCACCGGACTGGATGACTGGAATGTCACAGTGCATGGAATAACGCTAGCTTCATCTTTATCATCGTTAATGCAGCATGGCTGAATTGACTGTCCATCAGGAAAGGACACTTCCAGCACCGACTGTACGCTACCGTCTTCTAGTTCCACCTCTGGGATTTCACAATCCAACACTGATGCTCTAAAGAAGATTACAATCACTTACTGTAATTAAAAGACGTTTCAGTTCGGACGTCCAATTTCCGGACACTTTTTATCTCATTTCGGACGAAAATTTCGGAGACTTTGCTGAAACATAGCTTTAGTAAATTTACTCTGACAAAACACGAATTAGATTGAAAAAACATCTGTAGCATCTGTGAAAATGAGTTTTACTGCACCCTCAAAGTTTTAAAGATACACCAACGAGAAAGTAGCACATATTCTATCAAGCCACTACGTATCACGGTATGTCAAGCCGTTTCTAAACTAGAGTTCGCTTTATAAAGGAAACTAAGAACGTTAGCGCTATTTAAAAGTTTTATATACTGTAAGGGAAATATTTCGGACGCTTAAAAATTTCGGACCGTTTTACTTTCGTACACTTTTTTTGTCCGAGCTTATAATCGTCCGAAATTTTTGCAAGTAATGTATACCGAAATAGCCTATTTGCCAGGTAACTGAGCCGAAGAACAACGAAGTTCTTGATTTGCTACGTAATGAGAAACGCAAAACTCACCGTCGCCAAAAAACATTACTTAAGCAACACTTTAGAACAAAACATTTTACCGTTGATCAAGAGCACACCTGTTATGTTGTTGGTATAAAGTGTCTAATGCTGTTTACGTACCTTCTGTATCCCCTCGCAATAATGTTGAAATTAACGGACACTTGAGTGTTAAGAGGCACAGGCGTCAGCCGAAGACATTCTGGATCAAACTTCAGGTTGGGCGCGAGTAGTTCTCCCTTGAGGGTCAGGGTGCGGTATGGAACGTCTCTGTTACCATTCAGTATCACCGGAACATGTACCACAAACAGACCTGGGCTTGCTGTGGAGATATCAAGGAAGGTTTAATCATATCACTCATCAGAGTGGTAACAAGAATGGTGCACTCTGAGAAACACACCTTGACATGAGTCTAATTGGAAGCTTTTAAACTGCGTATCATGAATTCCAGTGGTTAAGTGGCTGACTTTGATTCAAGCAGCAAACTCATTACTTAAACGAAGACACTGCAAATGATCTTACGTGGAGTAAACAGTACTCCAAGATGAAATGTCTCTCCACTGTCCAGGGTGATGTCAGGAATGACACTCTTCTTTCCTGCTGAGGACGGCGTGAAAGGGGAGCCCGTCCTGTGAAGGAATTTAAAGGTGCCATCCTCCATCAGGGCTCCTGCAGCCTTGGTGTGTAGAGTCCAGGTCAAGGGTTGATCGCTGTTGTTTACAAACAAACAGCCCTGAGGGTTAAACATAACTTGTCATTGACACATGCTCTTCACCAAGGAGAAACAAAGGTTATGGTCTTTGAAGAACGAGTAAAAGCACATTCGATACAAATTCGTCCTGATGCTGGGTAACTTTTGCCTGTATTTCGTATATAAAATAGGTTACAGAAAAGCATAATAATACAAAGCCAACGATTGAGGTCAAACTTTTCCAGTAATACGTTAGCCCTACAGCTCATGAGTAAATGATTGTTAAAACAGTACAACACACACTCGCCTGCGCCCGTCCTGCCCCTGACTCAATACCAAGCTCGAAATAACCAGATGGAAGGTGGAACTCAAGTACAGAGTGCGACAGCTGCAGAGGGGGACGCAAGGCAGTTGCCACCACGTGACGGCTCGGAGTAGCCACACCCACCAAAGAGGGTACAGGAGTAATAAGCTCAGAGATGGTCCAGTTCATGTGCGAGGGGGCCGGTGTAGGAGGGAAGGTTGATGGCGCTGGAGTAGGAGCCACCGTGTGATTGATGCTGACAGGGATGACAAAATCATAGGATGCAACCTAGCAAATACAAAACACCTCAAATTATCACAGTTGTATCTGAGCAGGTTCCTTTTCTTTCTCCTGGGCAAAGTGGTAATAGGACACGAACGGTGCAATAATGTGAGCTCTTAGCTCAAAAAGAATGCGAGGTTTTGCTTCAATTATAAAGTTTAACTACAGGATAATTAAGTGTGATGTGATCTGGCAAAAGAAAGTTCATTTGGTTTGCACCTCAGATGGCTGGAATTTCAGAGCACAATCCATGATTTGTTGACCTCTTAAAGACACGTGATAAACACCGTTAGCATCATCCACCGGATCATCTGTGAGAAGTAAGAACACCATTGTTACCATTATATAACAACAAAGTTTGCAGATGATATAAGAAGAACATTCACGAGTACCATCAAGATCAGTATCCAGGAATTTAAGTGAAAAGTCCAGGAATCTACTCAGGTCTAAAACCACGTCTGCTTGAGTACGAGTCTGAAAATGAAAAACTCTCGAATTTAATACTTATCACAAAAGTTTAACTTCAAGAAAATAATCAATTTCACAACAAAACCTTGTTCACGCTTTTACCTTGTTGCTTAGTTGAAATTTAATAGTTGCTAAAGCACCACAGTGGACTCCACCAAACTGAAATGAGCTCTGCAGAACAAAACATAATAAAGTGGATTAGTAAACAGATAGTATAGAAAAGAGGTAAGCTATAAACAGTTAGTGCAGAAACAAAGTAGAGATAAGAATTTACAGGGATTTTACAGAGAATCATTTGAAACGATTTTTCTGACATTAAACATTGCACCGTCTAACGTCTACCACTTGACTAGCCCTGTCAGCAGCCCAACTGCACTTACCACATCAATGTCGACACAGGGTGGTTCTATTGTACCACCCACTCTCAGTGAAATGATCTTCCACCCTCGCACATTCACCTGGATGTGAGTATCAAACTTGTGGATACTGTTAGGAGAAAACTCCACCTGAAATTGGACAAGTGAAACACAAGTAATAATGTAATTGCTTAAGGTTTTACGATAGGATCCTAGTAAAACCCAGCCAAACTAAGCTCATTTGCCCAATGTGAGGATCATATAACACAGACTACAGATGTGTCGCATCACGAGCACAGCAATGTGTTTGCTAGAATACCTTTTCATAACCTCCCCCTTTCTGGGGTGCTTATGAGCAACCTTTCAATATGGTACCGTTAACCAAAAGTCATGCTTCTTTAGCTTGTCATTTACAATTCGTTTTTTTCTGTTGTCAGTGGGCATGGAAATGTCAAGTACCTAAAGATGCGCACCACAATATTTGAAGATGTTGTGAACCATTAATTTGTCATGGATATCCCCAGACTTTTCAGTTAAAAGGTAAAATATGTCCTTGAGCTCCCTAAACATTACCTTAAGTTCTGCTGTTCCTCCAACTGGGACAACTCCTTCCTTAGGGGAGATGATCATTCCAGGGATAGGATGAGTGTCAATAACCTGAAAAACAATGAGCTCCATTACAAATCAAGAGCTTAGTATTTGATTGCTGTAAAGTAACTCCCACAACATTTTTAATGTGATGTTTCCTTCTATAATAAAATGCCTGGACGAAAAACCATGCTTCGTTATATTATTTTTCTTTAGCCCTGCTCATGCAGAGTTTGTTTGGTTAGCGTTGTTTTGATTGGTGACTCTGTATTCATACCAAGGTTGGCAGCCAGAAATTAGCTGACCTTGATTTGTTTGGAGACAGGGATGTTTGTTTAAGTCTTGTGAGCAATGAGTCAAGTACAAACCTCAAAGCAAGCATGGTTATGACCGGTGTTTTTAAGGGACACTGTCTTCACTGTAGTTAAATGAAGAGGTACTGAACCAAACAGAAGCCTTCTCTCTACAAACGCACAGTGAGCAGAGCCAAGCTAAAAAATCAATACAGTATTTGAAAGTTAGGGATTGCATTTTTGTTTTTGACAATTCATCACCACCTCAGCAAGTGTACAGTGTAGTGGATCGTGTAATGGTAACTAATGCGTGGAGTGCAAGGAATGTCTCAATACTTCACGTTAACTTGTGGCTAATGTGGCTTCTCAACAACCTTAAACTTAGCATATACCGGTACATCCACTTAGACAGGGTGTCTGGGAAAACATCTAAGTCTGCTTAGGGCACGTGTCTGTTGTAGAAGGTGGAGCCGGAGATTAAGTTAATTTTGTGGAGTTAAACAAAGCACGAGTACTTTGCCGCACTTAACAACAACAATAACAACATTTATGTTTTCTCAAATAAATAAACAGCATTCCGTCCGAGGATGATTGTTATATAGCTTGTACCTTAGCCATGCATTTTAGCTTCAGATCACTCCCTCCAGTTACATGAACAAGGAAATCAGTTTCATCAGGGGCTGAAAATGTTGGTTGATAAATAACCTCACATTCCAAGCTAGTAAATGCATCAACAGTTCCTACAGTGACAAACACAGTAAGATTCTTGTCAGTTTGTCTCCTTTGTGGGGGCTATCAATAATTCTATGACTCTTAATCCTGGCTCTTTAACCTGAATGATCTCTTTTTGTAATGTTAGTTCATACCTGTGGGTGGTACATCAAGATAATAGTTCGATTTCTCTCTTCTTGCAAATTTCTTTTAAGAAATATATTTTTTACATGATCATACACTGTATTACAGTTCACTTTTGATAAAAAAAAATTCTGGATCTCTATATACTCTGGAAGTACATTCTTGACTCTCGTACCTATTGATGGTCTAATGGAGAATGCCGTGCCCTTTTCATCCACAACAGGTGACCAAGAAAATTCTGCAGGGTAGTTCCTTTTGTTTAACAGTGTGATGGAGCCTCGAAGACCTGGCAGATTATAACAAATATATATTCAACACACATGTTGGTCAACATGTCAAAACTCTTCAGTTGTGTTAGGAGTTAGGTTTTAACTATCAAAAGGCAGCTTACTCTATATTTTTTAATAGTATGCCAGCAAAGAGTACACACTAGTAACTAGCATCATTATATGGCTAGCTCCGTGAGTGGGCAAGATGAATCAAATCCTGGGCTGTGATTGGCTACCTCAGCGGGCAAAATGGCGCTATCTTGCCTGCTCAGGACTACCCACAGTGTCCTGCTAGAAAAATTTCCCCCGAAAGTCACATAATAAATCCTTTATTGACCAAGCTTGTTCGGTCAAGATGGCTTGATATTGGCCTCGTTCTTTTCTGGCGAGTTCATGGACCTTGACTCCGTCTCGGTCCAGAAACTCGCAAAAAAAAAGAACTTGACCAATATTCAGCCATCTTGACCTCACATTTGGTCAATAACCCATATTTATAGCAAACAGAAAGCAGAGTCCAGCATGAACTGATGTCATTTACCTGAATCAGCTAAGAGGCCAGGAGAGGATCTAAGTACAACTTCATCAGATGATAGCTCCAAAGCAACAGACACAACTTCTGCCAGGACCACAATGTGCTGCTGATGATAACCATTAATGCTGTAGTCTATACTCCTAAAAATATCAAAAAATAGTCAAGATGTGAGGAGAATATCCCACTTAGGTCAGGCAACAAAGGCTGATTTGACAAGAAAAATATTTAGTGAAGTGTAAAAGAACCTGTCATTGTGTTTTGCTCTGCTCTAAAGTACATTTATATACTTTTTGAGCATGATGCCAAGTGTACAACTGCCAACTGATTGTTACATTCACCAGTCAGTTCTTGCATTCATTAATCAAAGATCTGTTACCTTTCAAACCTTCCTCTCACATTTGATTCAAACATCATAACCAGCTTTGCCACAGAGCTGGGTGGTACCACTTGTGACAAGGGAGATGTTTGACGAAGCTCTCGACAATCAATCTACAATTTGATATCAAAAAATCAAATATATGTAACAAAAACTACACCATAGAAAAAAAGGAGATGTTGAACTAACATAGAGGCATGAGGTGCAAGAAAAGACACTCTGCACCCACCTCAACCACAACATGGATGAAACTGTTCAAGTTGTTAACAATCATGAGGTCTTTACTGCTAACAGATCGCAGACAGACTTGACCAAAGTCCATCAAAGAGGGGCCTGAAAATTAAACACATTGGTTAGACCAATCTAAGTTATTATTATCTAATTCATTAACTACAGACACCCGTAGCTCAATCAGCTGTGCAGAATAATCATCTTTAGGATGCACTTGGCTGAAGAGTGAGACAAATGTGGTTAGTAATAAACAGCTAAAACTAACAAACCACTAAAAATAATTTTCTATGTAAGTGCTCATCAATAATTTACTGGAATTCAAATTTCAACACCATGTATGAAATTCACCCCTGTTGCTGTTGGCTTATTTAGCCTGTGTAGCTGGTGGGATTCCTTGTGCTAGTGCTTTGTCTCAGTAGCAAAGTATCTAATAAAACCAGCAAAGGAGCAGTCAAGCTCAGATTCCACCTGTTTTAATCTTTTGGCTTCTTTTTCCAGATTGGCTCAGAGTTGGTGACATATCAATTAAACTCTAAATTCCTTCACCTTTTGATTCCCACAAAACTGAGTAAAAACTTGTTGTCAAGAGGAGGGAGGGCCATGAAGAAATTAATTTTGGGAAATGATTTCTCAAACTCATTAATAATTCAAAAAGCTGTGTTTGAATACCTAATCTTATTAAGAATGGATTTTCAACAATTTTCTTTCACTGTTTTCTTTATAGTTATAGTTTTGATAATTGAGAAGATATATCAGATAAAAAAGACTGTGTTTGAACACATTTCTCAACATAATTTGGCGAAGTTATTTAAAAATACTCTGCTATGCATCGTCAGTATTTTCAACCCGGTTGTCATTGTTTGGAAAAGCAGTCAAACATGGTCTTTTGCTTTTGATATATTACATAAAAAAATAAAAACACAAACTAATGAACACTGCAAAATCAATGTTGTTTGGATCACGTTGCAACTTAAAGGCAGCCAACATAGTTTTTTTTGGCCATTTAGGCATCTTGACCTCCTGATAATTACATGACTTGTATGTATACATTTTAATTGGCATTACCTATATCTACAAGTTTTAGCTGCTGAGGAGACAGCACTAAGGAACATTCACGCTTCTCCCTTTCCGTCATGGGTACAGCATTCAAGCCGTCACTCAACTGTACAGAACAAAATGCAAAGGGAACAATCAGACTGCCTGTTTACAATTTAACAACAATAAAACCCTGACTTACAATGCATGATCAAAAGGAAGCAACATCTTTCAGAAATGTATTAAGGGATTGGAACATATGTAACAAACAATCACCGTTTCCAATAATTTATATTTAGAGAACATGTCTCAGTTATAATCATATTTTAACAACAAAGTGACCAAATTTTCAGCACATTTTTTTTACCTTTTAGTGCAACTCATATCTTATTTTACTCACCGGCTTTAATAGTGTCTGAGACTTGTCTGCTGAAAGTGTCAAGGAACTCAATAACTTCACTTCATCACTAACAGGGCAAGAAGCTGCATAATAAACAAGCAATTATCAAAATTAGATCACAGTATAAAATATGTCATCATACTACTTAGTATTTTATCAGTAACAAAGGATCACTTTGCGGATCACTTGCACTGCAACTCCTTGGGATCTAGTCAGACATAAATAAGACCAGGCCAAAAAAGATAGAAGCTTGGCAAAATGAAACATTTATTACTAGGTCAACCTTGAAGAATGTGTGTACTGTGCTGATTAATGATATGTGCAATGGTCACTTGGCTGAAAGATAATAAATGAACAAGTGCACTTGAGTCAATTTTACGAAACTAAATAGAATGACGTGTCAGTAGAACATAGTTATTAAAGAATAATAAGGGTTATTATATCTCCAGGTAAGGACCTACTTTTCATTTGATGCTAGTTCTGCCCATTTGGGGTACAGATAAAAGACCCTGGTCACTGCAACAACCACAACATCCCAACAATTCAGAGTTATTAATTATTATTTTCTTGTTCTCAGAACCTGCCTGCTCTCCACTGTATTGATGTTGTTAGGAAAAATTAACTAGATTGAAGCCCTCTTGGATATGAAAGGATTAGGAACTAAGCCCAACTTACTTGTTTCTGGGGATTTAAGTTCTCTTGTTGAAATCTGTGGAGGTTTTAAACCTATGCCACTTTTCATTCCTAAATCTGTATCATTATTATATCGGTGAAAATCACTGAAAAGATAAAAGTAGGTACAATAAGCACCCAAACAAATATTTTCTGATCATCTAAACTTGTCCAAACGTAAACTGTCTTTCCTACATACTGTTGCTGAAAGAGATTTCTCGCTTCAAGTGAAATATCCCAATGTTAGTAGTTGTACCTTCTCTTCTTGTCAGCCTGTCTATTTTGTCTCAATGTTGCTATGTAGTCCAGATACTTTTGTTCGTGTTCCACTCTTTGTTGTTCTTCCTGATCAGTAAAAGCATAATCTGGATCCACAAATGTATATCTCTCGATTCCAGTGAATAACGTTCTGAAAAAAAAACATGGAATGGTTTAGAAAATTAAATTAGGGAACAAAACTAGACTACAATGTATACATGTATATTCCCTGGGGTGAAACAATGCTTCCTAGTCAGTAGTGGTGCAGTTCCCTGTTTGTCAGGGTTTTATGTGAGAGGTATTCAGAACCTGTGAATCATAACTCAGAATTTTGATCTTGTACAGTCTTAACGTTCAATTTTTATAATAGTCTATTGTCAATGGTGTCACTATTCAGGGTGTCACATAGAATCCCAAGAAGTCTAAAATTGATCAAGTATCTTTATATGAAATCAAAATATTACAATACTAGCAGCCAAATCAAGTAGAGCATTACAGCTGGAATAACAGGACGGTATAATTACACATGAGTAAAAGAGATCATAATAGAAACTAACTTGACATTTTCATCCTTCTTTGCTGGTCGAATGCTGGTTGCCCGATCATTTGGGTGTGCAATCTGTGGTACTCCGGCTGGTGGCTGTGTCTTAAGATAATTTGTTGTCCTGGTGCCAGTGCCATGAAGATATAGAGGAGTTGTATAAATTGGTATCATCCTATTATAAGCAAAGCCTTATGTTAGTATGTACATTTAATTACATACATAGGTAAAACAGCTGAGTACATGTAATTTCTTGACTAGAACAACATTCTATAAAAGGTTGTATGAAATAATCCCAGTTTCTTGCCAAAATAAAAGATCTGAGCAGTTCTCAATTGTAAATAACACCTTTGTTAGAGCTACTAGTGGAGGGCTAGTGGATATTGTGGTCACACTAGTGCATTGATCATTCTATTCTTTGAACACTTGGCCAGATGGGCAAGTGAATTGTTTGGGGGTAGAATTTGAGAAAATTCAAATTACTGACTGAAATGCTGTGAGAGATGAAATTATTGTTTTAATTTTTAACTAATTAATTGTACCAGTGGGAAATCTTTTTGAGGGAACTATTGAAATGGCTGTTGTGCAAGTATATTATAGTGACATGTTGCCTGAAGTGCAACCTAGAAAGAATGGTTTTCTTTGCACCCTGTTACAATGGACAAATTAACGTGTGCATCCTACATATACCTAACAGCAGAGGGATCACCACCATCAGATGAGAACTGCTCTATAATGCCTCCTAGAACATCCAATGAAACTACAGGTTTGAAGATACCCATCTGATTAGGTCTGAAGGTCAATAACACATCCACTGACTGTCCAGGATTGATGTGATCCTGTGATGGAGAAAAATGGAAGTGTGCCGTAGAATGGAGAGAAAACGTCAGTGGTAAACTGGCAGATTCATTGTTTACAGTACAGAGGGCATCAATTTGTTCACCAACAGTACAATCTCCAAACTTGAACACAGGGCTGGGTGATATAGATAGCAGTACTGGTAAAGCTGTACCCACAACAGCAACTTCAACTCTGGAGCCTAGAAAAGATCAAACAATTCACATCAGGAATTCACAGACAAATTCTTGATATCTAGCTTGCAGCTTTAACTACAACTTTGAAAATGTTCTTCACTGCACTATACAACTCCTCTTCAATGAATATCTGTTCTCACTAAAATGACTGCAAGTATCTATACATATTCATTACGTTTGCCATCAACAGTTGTCACTTTTCATGATGCTACAGTTAACAATAACAATAATTATTGGACATCAGTCTTATGTCTCACCAAAAGTTGCAAATGTCACATTAAATTAGAAAGGTAAATTTTTAGTAAAACACAACTACTGGTCACCTCATTGTGATACATGAATGAGATTTACAGTGTGCAGTATACAAAGCACATTTCAAAGTACATTAAGACCTATTATAAACCAATATCAGTATAACCTAACCTTTTAAGTGTACTCTCTTACTATCAAAATTTGCTCTCACCTCCAGTGCCATATCCACCCATAGACTTATCAGAGATACCAGCAATGCTACCCACAGTCTCTATATGCATGAAAAGGGTGTAATCTTTCCTTGGAGGTGGCTGATCACCAGCGTTCCAACCTCTGCTAGACTTGGTGTATCTAGGACTGAATCTAAAGTGAATCTCTCTTTTTTCTTGTGGGTAAAGGATGCCTTGACTAGGTAAGGCTGTCACCAGTGTTGTCAAGTCATTAGCAGAACCAAGATCTTGAGAATTTGATTGAGACAGCAACACAGCTGTCGCACTCTTGGTCAAGTCAACACCCTACAGGTATGGAATAATCAGATAGGCATTAAAGAGAGCAGAAATGATTATTATTCAATTACAACTCAAAATGGACTTCAATTATTTCATTACTCAACAGTTATTTAACCACTCATTGACAATATATCTCCATAAATATATTGGCACATTGTCAGGCACACAGGCAATGCAAAGAAAGGGAATTATCTATGTTTTATATTTAGACTGAAACAGACAGGATTTGCATACCACTTCTTGACCCTCTCCACCTTCTTCCAGTATAACAACAAAGTTAGCCACATCTGGTCCATTGTTATAAATAAGAAAACACTCTGTTCGGTCAGTGCCATAGTAAATTGAACCAAAATTAATTGTTTGCACATTTTCTTCTGTGTCCAATGTCAATAGCTCCAGGGATCTTTCAACTACATTACCAATGATTTGAAGAGTTGTTGGAGACTGCCCTTCTAGTTTCACTCTATAGAAAAACAGAGTATTTGCATTGTTCACTGGTGAAGGCAATCTGACAAGTTCTTGAATTTAAGCAACTAATGTTTGTTCCTAGAGTCAAAGCTTTAGTTTCATAATCTGGTTTTAATTTGTCACATTCTAGTGACCCATTCACCAGTTTCAAAAGTTAGTTTCACTCTAAAAGAGGAACTGCTCACTGCAGAAACAACAACAACAACAAACAAGAACAATCTTTATTTCATGCCCAGAAAAATTTTACAATAAAAATAAATACATGCAATGGTTCATCAACAGTTTTCACTTACTGTGCTTCTTCATCAAACTTCCCTGCAGTCTTGCTGATAAACTCAACCTGTACAAAGTGGAAAATGAAGTTATTGTTAAACTTTTCAATTACCGCTTTACCCTTTGAACATTATTTCCATTACTGTTTACAGGTAACAACCTTCCTATGTTCATTAATCATCAAATGTCATAACATAATTTGTACATATATTGTCTTAATATTTACACTGTACATATACATCTATTGTATAGTTAAATTACTCTCTGAATTTGTTTTAGTTTTAAAAAATGTATAAATAGAGTAGAGTCACTCCAAATATGCACAGAATGATTTGCATAATGTTTGTGTTTCAGTTTAGGAACTGAAAAGGTTGATGAAAGAGCACTCTTGACTGGTGTTTGGAGGGTTTTAAGTATATCTATGATAGAAATAAAGCTCACCTTTATGGATTGCCTTGCTCCTGGTTTGATAATGCCACCAGATGGCATAATTGTGATTGGTTGATTACCATTGTATTTTATTTTGAACTCTCCTGTTAAGGATCCTTCATTTACAACAAAAACTTCCCGTGTTAGGACTTTGCCATCAGCCACTGTTACACCAAAATCAGCTGGACCACTCAGTTCCAACTGTGGGGAAGGAGTATACCTGTTGGGAATATAAATGACGATTTTTGTTGTTGGTGACCATTAGCAGGGTTCTCAGCACATATTTTAACAGGCCACAGGAGATTTATAAACAGGCAGTACTATTTCAGTCTGAAGGACCATGGTGAGACCTGAAGAACCATGTTACTAGTGAGGTCCAGGGGTATGCTCTGTGGAAAATGTTGAAATTTAGGGTAACCAGAGATGCAATTTCACGCATCCTGGGGGACAGATTAGTTATCTAAATGAAGTCTAACAGGGCTTGAAAAAAGTGCTGTCCAGTCATCTGGGGTAAGTAAGGCAAGTATCTTTTCTCACTTGCCAGATGGGCAAGGGATCAGGCAAGTCATCTGTCAACTAAATCATTAAAAGAACAAACTAAGACTTGCCCAGGGGAAGCAATATTTGAGTGATACTTGTCCTGAGGGCAAGCTGGAATTCAAGTTTTTTTTCGAGCCCTGGTCTGGTCAACAAAAATGACCTGTTCACAGGCATAAATTGTGGTGTCTCAGATGTGGTTGAAGGCCAACTCATATAAAATGGGTGATTCAAGAAAATATCCATACCCTACCACGGTCAGCATAAATGTTTTAATCTCCCTATGCCTTCGGAAATTCCAAAATGCTCTACCCCCCAGGCCCTCCGAAATCCAAAATCATTAACCCCTCATCCCCTCTGGAATTTCCAATTTTCAGACCCTTTGGAATTCCTGTTTGACTGCCTAAAACTTCTAATGAACAGAAAACTGGTATGTTATATTAAGGTATGGTATGGATATCTTTTGGAACCACCCAATATGCCAGATTCAGCATATTTATTTAATTTAGTTCAATCAAAGTTCTTATAGTACATATACTAACGCAACAAGAGGAATTTCAACAACATCATTGTCAACCACGAGTATAACTCTGTCCTGAGCATCTTCTGCCTTAGTGGTGTAATATTCCACCAGACCTGATACCTCCAGTCCAGGTGCAATAGCATGATCCAGATTTTTCACTTTTAATCTGAAACACTGACAATCAAAAATACGTGTATTAAGTTTCTGAGAGTCTGACCTATGAAAAGGGTAAAATTAGGGTACTTCCTGTGCTGGACAATCCCTGCACGTTGCTGGGGTGGGAGACAGGGGAACCCCAGGGGAACACCTGAATGGTATATAGCACCATGTACATGGCATCAGTATGTTATTTTAGAGGCTGATCAAGGGGTTTTTAGCAGCACCGGGTACACAAGCATATGAACAAGTACACTAGTGAGCTAAAGATAAGAAGTGTGAGGTCCGGTGTTATTCTCCAAGTGAAACCACGTAATTATAGTTTTCGATATCACTACATGAAACTGAGGATCGCCCTTACCTTCTTTCCAAAAAACTCCTTCACTGTTGACTATACGAATGGTTAAAATGCCACTTTCTGCACAACTTTACATGTCTATAATTTGTTGAGTTGAGAAACTTACAAGCTGAAATGTTCATTGCAATATAAACTTGCACTCATGTCACTGGGTGACTTTGCAAGAATCCAGATATAAATGTCAGAACATAACTAAGCGAGTACATGTGGTTGAAGATCACAAACCACTTACGTTCGATGCAGGTCCATGAAATCTGATGCTCTTCGAAGACTTGCTCAGGTTTTGTACTGTCAGGGTCATTTGGTGCACCACGTCTGATTCAGCATCGAAAAATTCTACCACCGGAGGAACAATTCTCACACCTGCGACAGTTCCCTCCATAACTGATCCCTTAACTCAATTTCTACAGTCTATTTCAAATGATTAGTTGGTTACAACAGCTAAATTTCGAAAAGATATATTGCATATTTTTTCAGCCTGAATTGGCCGCCATAATTCATTTACGGTCCGGCTTTCGTTGCATAGAAACAAGCGGGAATATGACGGATATATAACGCAAATTCTAATTGGCTACTCTTTTGACAAACAGTTTGACCCAATCAGAAGCTATGTATTATGCTTGCTCCGATGTTGTGTTCAAAAATGGCGGACGAACAAGCCTGTGACAAGAGCACAAAGCTGTGAGGTAGTGAGGGGAGTCAGCTGTGGTGAGCTGTGACAATTCATCGACGGAAGATTAATGATATAGGTTTATACCCTTTCTTTTGTATCAAAAATATTGGGATGATTCATTAACATGGATATTAACAGTGACGTTTTATCTGAAAATGTTGAAGCTTACGTGGGTTTTTTTGCGTGACCGTACAGGCTAAAACGTTAAATCTTGCATTTAGACCTGGATCTGCTGAAAAAAAAGTTAGTGATAGGCATATTTTATATGAACGATCTATTTCAAATATATGGACAACAAAGATTGGCGTAGATTTCTTTGCACGCGCTTCCAAGAGTACAAGCCTGGAGTACAGAGTACAACTTGTACTGTGCAAGTCGCCGAGTTTCGACACCGTCACACATGCTTATAATTACATTTAAACGTATCAACATTTTGATCTCGTTGCAAATGTGGTGCAGGTTAAGGCGGAAGTTAAGGAGAAAAATTATTATAGCTTCTAACAAGGGTTGTCTGTCAACGTTATGTCCACGTGGCCACGAATGGTAAACAGCCACCTGTTGAGCACGCGTGACGTGTTAAATATTTATGCCGAATATTAATAAGACTTAGAACATGAATGAGTCGCGAGTGAATAAACTTCACAAACCAAAACAAGACGACTATATTAGTTAGTCTCTGAATTTCTCAGGTAAGGCAATCAATCCTGAATTTCCTAGCGTTTTAATGATTAAGCGCGAATACAAGTCACATCTAGTTAAGTTTTCTTTTTTTGGCTTGATCGGAAATTTTTCGCTATACAGTAGTTTGAACTATCAATCCTTTGTTATGGTTGTGGGCTCGTATTTTGAACGTAGATGGAATTGTCGTGCCAGTTAAGTGGAATTAAACGTCTCGCCTGTTTTATTGAGCTTAAACGTGAGAGCATGCGTTTGAAACAGCAAACTTGAAACTAGTGAATTGCGTTCGAAACTATATTTACATCTAAGGATCGAAAGGATGTATTGCACATATAAGCGGTTTAGGCTCTTCCGGTCGAGGAAAATTTTTCGAAATTTAATAAAGGACCATGACTATGATTGGGAAAACAGCTTAAGCAATTCCGATATCTGTTGTAGTGCTTCAAACGCGAAAGACTATTGCGCATTTCAGTGCTATTAGCGAAGAGAACTAAAAAGTAAGTTAAACATCATGAAACAAGCTTCCGTGTGCCGTGTGCGTGTTTTACCGAATTCGTCAGTGAGGTGAAACCCAAGATGTCTGTTTATAGTGGCCGTTTGAAAGCTATTAAATCGTTTGGCTCAGATCTAGTTTCGATCAAAGTATGATCACACCTTGGTCCAATTTTTGTGTGACCAAAACTAACTCAGTAACTGTGAATATGTCACCCGCTTTGAAAGTGAAAGGGCGTGAAATTCGTGCTTGTTACTTTTACATTGAGGCTATGAAATGTGCTAATATACAGTAGTTTTCATCACATCTGTGTGTCATTATCACTGGGTCTTATCGCTTTCGTAGATCTGTGGTTCGTTGAAGATGTGCACCCTTCTCTGCCTGACAGGTGCAAGCATACTGGAATCGAGCACGAGGAAACAATGAGGAAGGACCACTGTCTTCAGATTCTGCCCCTGAGGCGATTTTTTCTATCCTTGACGGATGAAACGAAGGGTTGGTGGAAGAATTTATGTTTAATTTTAATTTTGTTACGATGGAAAAATACTTGAACTGTTGTTTACTTTTTCTACGTTGAAGAATATGCAAATTTGACAGCTAATGTATGTCTCAAATGAATAATGGTCCGAATAAAATTTGTTTCAAAACTGAAGAAAATCGTTCATGTACATGAACATATATATCCAGTGTAAAATTACAGTGGTAGTGAGCAGTTTTATTTTGTAACCTTATCGTTTTGGTATACTGATGTACAAATTTCTTTGTTTCAATATCAGAGTCACCAGAGATTTCCTTTGTTCCACCTGAATTTTTTTTTGTGTTTTGTTACCATTAAATATTTACAATGTTTTCAGTATTTTTTTCCAGTGGACAAATAAGAAAAAAAGGAACTGTGTCTAATCATGATACATATTTTCTGTGTATGTAATGCTGCATCAACATGGGTTTCAGAAGTTTTGTTCTTTATTTTTTGATGTTAATTACTTTCCCCTCTGATTTGATTTAGCACCTGTTGAATGTAGCTGTCTGGGTTAGTTTAGTCTGATGGCCTCAACTCAATGGAAACATTTATGGGGTAATTTTTTTTTTCTGCTGACTAGGAAAGATATTGTAATTCTGGGTGAAAGTGGAACTTCTGAAAAGAAGATCGATCAGGAAAATAATGTGAGTAAGAAATTATTGTTTTTTCACTGATTATTTAGTTTGTAAGAAATCAAGTGACACACCCATCTTATGCAAATAATTCAGACAAGACAGGGTGTGGTTAGCTGGTCTCTTTTCCACTGAATTTGGATATTTATAGAAATATTTGAAAACAAAACCACAAACAGAGGCATGAGTGGGAGTGTGAAGGCTAACCGGGTGTGGAACGTAGCTTTATCCCATACAGAGAACTTTGTGGAAACAGAAATTGAAACATTTATAATTTGAATTTCAGGCCAAAAAAATCCAAATGTTTCCTCAATCAATAATGTTGTCTTTACTTTAGTTACATGTACTGTAGTTTTCTGCATTGCTTCTCATGTTACCTACATTAAAAACAAGGATGCATATATAGATCTCTGTACTGCTAAAAATCATTTATTTGTTGATGACTGAAAAAAATGATAGATTCAACAGGTGGTTAAATATATCTTATGAGTTTAGGATAAATATACAAAAAGCTGTTAGTAATAAGCACCTGGCATTCTCTTGCTAGAAAAGTTGCAAATCACTTGACAGTTGAAGCAAAATAATAATAAAAAAAATTGTAGCTGTGAAATGTTGATCTGTGATGTAGTTGACAAGAAAATTAATGAACTTTTATATCAAGGTTAATTTTCTATTATTGACCTTGTGCTGCTGGGGAAGCAACAGCAAAGATTGTAGTTTGAGATATTTTTGAAGTAAAATTTAAAGGTTTGAGCTTAACATTAGTTTATTATATGGCAATTATTTGGCCAAAGATGATTGCAGTGGAAGTTGTTAACCTTCAGTTATGCACACACTACTAAAATTTGGAAGAATCCAACCCTAAAAACAACCTATCAGAGCATCTGCCATACTTATATTGGAAAATTTAGCTTTACTATGTAATAAATTTTAAGATATGTGCAGGATTCAAGATTGTATGTATTGTTTTATTTAATGAACCTCACAATGCTACAAATCTGTTAATATCCACTTCAATCCTTGCTCATTTCCCTCAGTCTCATTACCTCCTTCTTTTTTAATCCAGAGAATTCAAGGTGGTGTTGAGGATTGGCTATTGCAACGTAACAGGATGAAAGATTATTATGTGAGTATTTTGTTCAAGTATTTGTGGGCTTTAACTACATACACATCAATTGTTGGTTTTGTTTTTCAACAGTCTTGGATGAGAAAAAAGAGATATCTCAATGCAGTTACATGTATTTTACAGTTTACAGTTTATTGTACTTGAAAAATGTGTGAGAATTTTACAATGGCTACCCTTACATCATCATCATCATAATATTTATACAGGATAATCCCAACAGTGTAATAAACACTGGTATCAAAGGAGGGCCTGTTTCCTAAGTTGAAAGGAATTCTTGTGGGAACCTGTTATTGCCCGCCGGATAACTCTCAGTTTTTGGAAATTTTTAAACTGGGCTTGGAAAGAGTGTTGGGAGAGGATAAAGAAACAAGTCCCTGCCAAGGGACTCGTCAGTTGCCTTTCAGTTGCCTTTCAAACATCGCAGTTTATTTACAGTTTATTTACAGTTTATTTATTGCCGTGATTACAAATTACAACATACAACTTACACTACCCGCATATAGCGTAGGCTAATCGAGACGGGCAATGTTAAAGTTCCCTGTACATTTAAATGCCAAGAAACTGAGCACAAAATTAATAATGTACTCTATTTAACAATTAGGATTACACAATCGAGATATCTATCCCTAGTCAACTATCATGCATATAGAAATTGGGAGTGAATTATCCAGTTGTCTTAGATTAAATCTTCTAGTCGGTAAAATATCTAAATCTTCTTCACAAACACTTCAAAACACAAGTGGCCACCATTTTGTTAACAACCGCAGGCAGATGTAAAACACAGACTCCATAATCCGGAAACAGAAAAGTATTATTGACATCAGTACCAGTTATCGTAATTCCATTTCCATTTTTGTGTATTCCATGTTTTTCATATGCCCACAATTGGACACTGCTGGGCTACTCACTATCTACAACAGAATAGATAGTGAGTAAATTATGTGGCTTATGAGAGAAAGTTATTTGTAATTCTAAGATGATTACACTTCTGCTGTAGTTAAATGGTGACCTTATCTGGCTATAGGTTCATCAGACTACCAAGAAAATAATATACTATGATAAGGGGCGATGTATAGTCCTGGGACTAGTTAGTGTGAAGCTGCAAGAATATTGCGGTAAAGCTGCAAAAATATTGTGCAAGCAGCAAAGCCACAAGATGAGCTGAACACATAACCCGGGGTGGGGGGCGGGGGGAGCATATAAAAAGGTTGGGGATGCTCTTCGTCTCCCTTAGGGGTATAAATCAAGGATTCTGGTCTCATTTAGGGTGTTCATGATGAAACGCGACTACTTTTAGCCATCAAAGGATCTTTTAGAGTCCACTTGAAGAAATGATAATAAAAAAGGCTCTTTTTTTTCATAAATGGCCTTGTTGCAGTTTTTCCATTTCCTCTGGCTTCCTCCTTTCTGTCCTGGTTCATGGCATAAGTCCTCTCAAGCATCCAGAACATTTGATGTGCAAAGCCTGTGCTGTATACACCAAAACCTCCAGAAATCGATGGCATTGCGTTTAGAAGCAACATGCAGAAATGTGTTGTATAAACACAGTTCCCACACTGCCCATCCCCATAACTCCCCTCACCCCCCCCCAAAAAAAAACTTATGCACCAGGCTATCAAGGGCTCATCAGCAATTGTGCGTAATGAAACTAAAATGATTTATGTTTTTCAGTATGAAGACTTTGAGGTGTTATCACAGACTGCCCGTGAAGTGTGGCTTGCTGAACAGTGCTCTGCCTTTGAAACACAAATACAGACCCTGTCACGTGAGAGAGAAAAGGATCATTTTCTTGAGGAGCTGTATCGTAAACTTAAACAAGTAACCCGTCGCTGGCAGTCCTGGAATCATAGGTCCTTTGGAGGAGTTATCTCTAGAGGGTGTGTTTGTAGCTGTTGTACCTTCAAGTTAAATTTTCATAGGATGGAACTTTTTATTTAAGCATGCAGGACCAAAAACACTGCCCTGTAGCTAGCGTGGACTAGATGACGTGTTGAGCGAATGTGCATGTGAACACCAACCTAACATGTCTAACATTATATATGTCTGTTTTGTAACAGGTATGTCGCTGAGTTAGCCTCATGGGAAAGAAATGTTCAACTCCGCGGAATCTTAGTCCCTAAAAGTCAATCAAACTCTCCGGAATCAAATGTGCTTCAGCGATTTGACGAACTTTGTATGAGCTTTGAGAATCTGCTCGAACGCTTTAGAAAAGGCATTTATCAGCCACTTAGCGACTTTTTTCAAAATGAAAAAATACTTTCGCACCTCAAAAGCGTTCCTAAAGACCTGGAGAAGGTTTTAACTCAATGGAATGCTCTGCTGACTTCTGGTGCCATTGACGAGAAGTTATTTAGCCGAACCAGTGCCGAAGGACTTTATCCAATAGGAATACGAAATAGGATACACGACTATGATCTCGTGTTACGACTTATTCCGGACCTGACCGAGAAAGCTTACGAGGCCTTACGACTGGCGCGTCGCTGGAGGTTAATAGGGAAAACCTCGGCCATTCAACGTGACGAAACTTACATCATTTCTAGAGAACAAACAGCTAGACTCCACAAGCGTCGCACTTCGAAAACTTTAAAGAAAGTAAGCACGTTAGAAGAAGAGTTGGAAGAGTCTAAAGCACAGTGTATCTCCCTTGAAGCAGAACTGAACAAGTCGAATGCTAAATGCGAAGCCATTGAAAAGGTTGTTACGGTGTACCGGCAGCAATGTAACCAATTAGAGAACGAGTTAGATGCCGTGAAGAGAAGGTGCGAATCTCTAAAAGAACAGTTAGAAAACGCAAAAAAAGAAAGCCGGAATGCTTCTAACGAAGCTGAAAGTTCTCAGGAGCATTGCCGTGTCTTGCAACAAGAACTGAACAGTGCTAGACTTAAGTATTGTACGCAGAAAGTTAAGTTCATAAACACCAAGAAACGTTGCAGTCAAGTTACAACCCAGCTTAATGCTACTCGAGAACAGTTAACGCAACTCCAAAGCGAACTGGAAGCGAGAAAGAAACGTTGTCAAGCGCTCCAAGTTAAACTGGAAAATTCCAAGAAAAACATCTTTACACAAGGCAACATGCTAGATGTGTTACAGAACCAGTGTTATATGCTAAAAGAAGAGCTGGACGGAACAAAAGCGAAGTGCTTGCAGTTAACCTGTGAACTGGAAAAATCTCAGGATAGATGCTCTACACTGGAGAAAGAAGTGAAACATTTGAAAGAACAGTATCAAACCTTAGAGACAGAACTGAGGAGAGCGAAGACGCGCGAAGAACTGTTAGTTCAACAGAACACGCAGTTACGCAAACTGTTTCAAGGTATTTATTTCTAGCTGTAGGTTGGACAGCTCATGCATACCCTTGTAACACTTGTGCCGTCTATTTCAGATTCAGAACCCAGTCTTTTTTGTAGTTTGTGTAAGTTGATCGTCCCTGCACTGCTTTACGACAAGCACAGGCCTTTTTAGAACTACCCGCTCCCTGATGATCTCACACATTAGACGAACTTCTAAAACTGAAGAATCAGTTTGCATTTATTTACCCTGGGCGGCGCTCTTGATTTAGGCGCGCGAACTACCCTGTAGAAAATTTTGCATGGAAAGCATCACATATATCCACAAGATACCCTTACGACCCAAATAACAGCTAGGAAGAATTACAAATATCGTCTTTTATCTCTTCTTCAGATAACGGGATGGAGGAACCGAATTTGCTAAAGGTCACTTTACACGCCCCAGACACAGGTATACTACGTTATTAACCACGGAGACATCCCGAAGTTTAGTTTGTCAACGTATGCTCTCTTTCTCTGTTTAGGTTCCACGTGATTAGAAGCTGTTAGGAACTGTGTTCATCGATTGTAGCCTGGGTTCTAGTCGCTGTTAAAGAACAGAGTAACAACGTTGCCGCTATTTGTACACTACCTCTCACTTCAAGTGAGAGTTTCTAATACAACAACATTTTTCATTCTCCGCAACACCAGGTCACGAATTTGTCGAAAACGTAGCATACGTTTCTGACAAAAGGATGCTTGTCTCATGTAAAATACTTCCCGTGTTAAAAAGAAAACAACTGACATATTCACCATTCTTTAACGTTCATAGCTTGCGATCACTTTCCAACGTTTTGTTTACATCCTGGACTGGAACGTGACGTCATGTATGATTTGGTCGTTCGTCGTGTCTTTCTCGTGCCCGACCCTTTGCGCATGCGTGCAGGTTCTGACCAATCCACGGAGATGGTGTGTAATAGTTTATCTTAACATATAAAATACAAAATACAAATACATTTTATTTTACGTGGAACATACGCTTAACTGTATCGTTTAGTTTAAGAAATTTGAACCAGCTTTTTCACAGATGTGCCACAAGAAAAGTTATATATAAATAAATAAAAGAAAAATATGTAGTGAAAATATATAAACCTATTTACAGTTAAAAATAAAACTATCATAGAATAAGAGCTATTTACGGGATAAGAAAGTAATTCATGGATACTACGGTTTCTAAAGTATTGATCCATTTCTGAAAATTTTTCTTAAAGTTTTAACCGTTCCAACCCTAAGTAAGCTATTCCAAAATAAACTAAACTACTGGAATCCTAATTTTATCTATACTGTTGGAAAATGAATTAAATATTTTCATGGTCATTGCATCTGTTATTGTAAAATCAATGCTTTACATAGATTGATATAAGTATTATATAAAAGAAATATAAGAATTAAGATAAGAATTCATACACGGGACTTGTCCCAGACAAATCAGTATTATTATAAGATTATCACACGAATTGTAATTTTAATAACTGTTAGAGATTTATAGACATGTGCTAGATAATTTAGAGAGTAAAGCTATACAGATGTTAAGATAGGTAGAGAGAATCTATATTGTAACAACAAACAGGCATGGAACACGCCAATAGTTTATAAGTTACTTCAGGGCTGGGTGCACAAATGAGTTTTTAATTTCCAATGAAAATGTATGGGTCAAATCTGTGACAGTATTTAAAAACAGTAACTATAGAAAATGAAACAAAGAAATAAGTTAAATGTTTAATATAATTAAACACAGAAAAGAAATAAATGGTTGAACGAAAGTATGTGCGTTTCATTCTTTTTGCCTCTTGCTATCCTGTGAACAGACTCCTTAGTCGAGGATGGGGCGAAGAGAGAGGGAAGGAAGAGGGTAGAAGAAAGCCCCCACCCCGTAGGCCCCTGCGGCCACTTCATTCTCAGCCAGTTCCTTCTCGGCCCCTCCAGCCGTGGTTAGACCCTTACCGCCGGAGCCTGTGAACAGCCAGGGAAGTTACATTACCGAAACACAATTCAGGGCAACAATTGTTGTTTCCTTCGGCGATTTTTTGATGCCAACATATTTATACCTAGTAACATTTTACAGGTCTTTAGTTGTTGTTGTTGTTGNGGGGGGGGGGGGGGGGGGGGGGTTACTACCAGAAAAGTTGGGTGTGGTTATGCGGCCCACTTCTTCTAAGAAACATACCCAATTCAAGACTAGAGTGCTAAAACCAAAATGGGCAAAATCGATACCCTATTTATGGCCAACACAGCTGAAAAACCCTACTCTTTGGGGCCGCATATACCTATGTAAACTATACCGCACATACCTATACTCCCCCCGGGGAGTTCATTATCAAAGGACCATTGGACCCGTAGCCAATCAGATTGCAGGAAAATTTGAAGGGACCAATCAGAAGGCCGGATTTCGCTCACGTTACCGAAAATTGGCGAACTTAAAAGTTCGCCCTAGTTCAGCAAGAAAGGTTATCTGAGACACCAGTTGCAAGTCACGCCACTCCTCATTTTTGGCGCGAAACGCAAATGAAAACCCTTCAAGAGAAGACAAATCGACCTCTCGTGATATTCGTCGCTCGCTCGGCCGCTTCGCGACCTCAACGGCCTCAAACCTTGAATTCTAACAACCTCGTTCCCAGGGTCCTCTCTCTACCTCGAGTCTGGTTTCCAGATCCCTCAGTGCATCGGATAAAAACATGGCTGACACACGTGCAATCTTGATGTAGTTCTGAAACTCTTTTGTTTTGTCTGAAAGACAGTTTTCTAACTCATTGTTAAGTCCGTAGCTAGGTATTTATGCTAAGAGTACACTAAATCTGCCATTGGAGATCATTTGTAATGAATACTTCAGGGAAAATTTTTAAGATTGATCTCGCAACATCGAACGAAAACCGGCGTGAAGGTAAGCCTGTGTGAATCGTGTACAAAAACGTTTGATTCTTGATCTCTTGTTGATTACAGGACCTGTTTTGTTTTAGACGGTGTTCCAGCTGTTGAAAATATTCTGAATTCTGCCGTCAAGTCTCTAAAAAGTGGTCAAGTGATTGCCCTTCCAACTGACACCATCTATGGTGTTGCGGCACTGGCTCAGTCCACCGAAGCTGTGAACAAACTTTATGAGATAAAGAAGCGGCATGAGGAAAAACCTGTTGCTATCTGTGTTGGGAGGCTAGAAGATGTTCATAAGTAAGACCAGTTGTTTTTTTCGTCCCCTCAAAATGCAAAGAACATTCATTTCTTCGAAGAACACAGAGAGGGCTTCCTGTAAAAGGAAAAATAGCACGGAAAATCCAAAATATGTATTTTGCCAAACGACCTCTTCAAAAGCTGTGACAAATTTTGTTTTCTTTCTTTGGATCTACTAACGCTTCCAAAAGTTTGCTTATATCTTGGTGCAATGAAGATTTCCGAACACAGATTAACTCATTGACACCTGAAGATTTTTTAGCCTAAACGCATTTTTTCTACATTTTGGACATGTTCAGCATAGATATCAGCTAAATTAGCTTCAATCTACCCAAACATTCATTTGCAACATGACAGCATGCCTATCTTTCCACTTGCATCGTATTTTATGACATTTTTGCTGGGGCATGCATACAAATCAAAATTTTTGAGAATTTTGAAAGTGACCTTCAACTTTAGGCTTTTCGCTGCAGTTATTGACCTTCTACTGGGCTTTCTTCCAGTTCAAGAATTTCTGAGAAAGCATCATCAAGATGGGAAATTCTTGCCACAGAGTAGTCAAGTGTAGTTGAGGGAAATAAGTTATTTTGCTCTGAGTTTTTCACTGAAATTTCTAAGCATTTCTGTGTATATTTCATGCTCAATTGACCCAATCACTCTGATCTGGGTATCATTGGAAAGATCTTTTCCTCCTGCAGAATTTGAGTTTACCAGTAAGTGATGCCAATTTTGGTCAAAGGTGATGATGTTTGCTGTGGAACAAAGGCCAACACTCTTCATGGGTGGTTATGGAGAGCACAGGTGTCAATGGGTTAATAGGGAGATTTCCTCTTTTCACTAAAGGCAATTTGTAATTTTAAATGTACAGGTATTTTGGAAAATGAGTACATTTACTTTCTTTCGTTGCATTCACATACACATTCCCTATATTACAGCCACGATGTTAGGAATGCCTTTTTTCATGAATTACGGATTCGTAGATATTATTATAGGTAATCATACGGTTTCGAGTTCAATTTGGAATTAATTTGCACGAGTGAGTTTTTCAAAAAGCTGAAATTGCACGAGCCACTTCGGCGAGTGTAGTTTCAGCTTTTTGAAAAACTCACAAGTACAAATTAACCCCAAATTGAACGAGAAAAACCATATGATTACTTATTAATAATATAAACATGAAAAAATTTGTACGGAGGAAGTGCCGGAAGATCTTTATTGAAGCCATTTTTTCTCATTTGAGAAAACTTTTTTCAAAGTTTCAGCACAAAATTTTCGTCATCATTTTACGTGATATCATTTTCTTAGAAAAGTTCCTATTTTCTTTCAGTCAATCATAATCCAGAATTTCGATGTGTAATTTGCACTGGTGTTACACTTGAACTGCATTGCTCTTAGCCAATCAGAATCGAGTAATTTTTTTAATGTGTATTATTATTTCTAAAACAGAATTTTTTACTCCTTGAAGTCTTCCAGAAACAGTACAATGCAACCTCAATCTTCTTGTCAGTGATAGTTCAATTTTAACTGGCGAGGTAAATAAGGTTGCGATAATAAGTTCACAGACATAGCTCGGGTAACAGACTTGCCTAAAATAATGTAGTTTGAGTTGGTTTGTTACAGACCTAGCTACAAATAGCACGCACAATCAATAGTACAAATAATACAACACAATACAATACAAACGTATTGTACAGATAATCATATGAATGCGAAATTATTAAAGATTTACACTACGAGATATATTTGAAAATTCTCTCAAAATTGTACAAGCCTTATTGCAAGTGAAATTTGGAGCTTTTTTCAAATATCACAAGTACGTTGTACTCTCTGGTTTTCGAACAGGTTCATAAACCGTTGCCCCAACAATTCACCTGTATCCATTTATATACACATGGGTGGAGACAGGTACTCTGAAAGGAAATTGTCTCATGTCCAAGAACTCAACATTATGACTCTGGCCAGGGCTTGTAACCAGACTATCTCAATTCAGAGCCCAGTGCACTACCCATTAAGCTACCCCGCCTCCCAGAAATCATGCAGTCAGGTTATTAGTTTACTGTTTTTTTGTTTTCAGATGGGGAAAAGTAACTGTCAGTCAGGAGATTCTTCAAGACTTGCTTCCTGGCCCAGTGACTCTTATATTTGAACGAACTGATCAATTAAACCCAGGGTTAAACCCAACTACAAGACTTGTAGGAATCAGAATTCCTGATCACTACTTTGTTCAGCAACTGAGTTTAAGGTGTGAAGAGCCACTTGCCTTGACCAGTGCAAATGTTAGTACAGTTGGGCAAAGCAGTTTAAAAATTGAGGTTAGTCAACTGTATGGGTGGAGGTGTAGATTTTGAGATTTTTTGCTACTAATAGTGTCCTTTATCTGAAAAAAATAATTTTGTTAGTCAACTTCAGATGGCATTATGTGTCTAGACAGATACCATTCTGTATGGCTATTTTACTTTAAGTGCCTATAACACTTAGCCAGTTTCAATGAATTTCGAAAATTTATGTCTGTCTAAGATGTTTCGCAAAGAAAAAATCCCATTCTTTGTTTCATTTTTTTTTTTTATCAGCGGACGAAATCCCATGTTACAGCTTGTTTTCACTGTGTACTTTTGAGAAAAAAAGAAACTGGCTAAGCGTTATCGGCACTTTAAAGTAAAACTGCAACACAGTATAGCATGGTTTAATGTAATTTACTTCTAATGTAGTGTAAGGTAGTGTAATGTAATTAAATGTAGTTTAAAGTAGTACGATATAATGTGCTGAATTATTGTAACATAGCCCTGTGTTATTTGAAATAAAGAGTGTACCAAAAAAATACCAAAAAAATAAATTTTGTCTTGCTGAGTTGGCCCTACATCAGTATTTTTAATATTTGTTTGTACTTCACTTTTTGATTTATTAGAGTAACTAAAGCATTGCCTGCCATCAACGTTGGTCAACAAGAAATTATTGTTGTCAACTGGTGTGATGTAAATATCAAAAGTTTCTTCTATTTGATATATTTCACTGTATAAAAAGATTAAACTGTATTTTGTTAAAATCTTAGCTTGTAGAGTTTTACTTTTTAGGAGTTTAAAGACATCTGGTCAAATCTGGATCTAATTCTGGATGGTGGAGTTTTAGGACTGAGTGAACAATGCCGCAAAGGATCAACTATAGTAAACCTGTCAGTTCCTGGCAAGTTTTCCATCATCAGGGAGGGAAGGTAAGCAAACATAATAAACAAATGTCACATTTCAGCCAAAGGTTAAACCTTAAATTGCATGTACACAGGCCTACAGATATTTTCATTTAGACTGTTTTTTTTCCTTATAATTATTGTAGCACAGAGTGACAAGCTAATATCGTCATTCCCAAAGTGTTAGCAGCTTAAGGTGGCTGAACACAGTTTTTGATACCTGTGTTCGTTCACCTTTTTCTCTAAAACCCTTGATCCCTCGATCGCCAAAACTGGCAGCAAGCAAGTTAACAACACAAACTTTGGTTTTTTTTTTATGGTTAGGCTGATGTATGTGCCATTGCCTTGGCAACATGAATAAATATAAACAGGCCTTTAAAATCGGTTTTGTTTATTTATAGAAAATCTAGTCATTAGATTTTCTTTATAATTTGCATGCAACAAGCTTGTAACGATTCACACAAGCTAACACCATTTTGCTAATAATTTAACAGAGAGATCTTTAATTATCCCTTGTTGAAGGTTCACTGGAATATCTAGAATTTCCTTAGTTAAAGCTCATTTATTTTCAATACTCCAGTTACTTATTTCCTTAAGTAACTTCATGCCAAATTTCGTGAAATTCTAATGAGTGGTTTTCGAGTAATAGGCGTATTTGCGAGAGTGCAATTTTCATTCAATCGCAATTTTTTGACTTACTATGCATGCGCTGCATTTAACTGGGTTCTTTTGGTAACAAAGAAAAAGCTGAGAATTGCTGGGTTCTTTGCATCATTACCTTTTCTAAGATATCTTTGTAATAAAAGACTAAAGCCATCAATACACTGGGTTCAATTCTAGAGAAAAATAACGCAGATAGAGCAGGTGCTGAGTAAATAAAATGATCGCTGTATTGACGGCATGTTTGTTTTTTTGCAATCCTTATGCGCGCGCTGAATTCCATCAGGGAAAGCGTGCACGAAAACTGTGTTCGGCCACCTTAATAAGGTCTAAGTGACAGTGGACTCATGCAACTCTCAGCAGTGTGAAATTTGTGTAACATTTATGTAACAAGTTCCTTGGGAAAATGTTTGGTATTGCTTGTGATTAGAATGTTTAGTGTTTAGCATGTTTAAATTATTTTTAATGTTGATTCCACAGTGCCTACGACCAGACTGTCAACATTCTTAGCAGCAAATATGGACTTGAGGATTGCAGTAGCTGACAGCTATATATTTGCTGACAATCATGCCAGTGTGCCTGTTAGGGGCAATGGTTAAAATAATAAATATTGTAATATACATCATTTTGTTTGTGGAATATTGTATTAGTGAATATTTGTGTTGTTCCCAGGCCAGTAGTATAATCCTGATATCTGCAGGATGGTGGTAAAAATATAGGAATTGTAGATTTATTGCTAGGTCTACTTGTTTGACATCCATTTAGCCACTCATAAAATAGTGACATTGAAAATGGCAAAAGAAAAAATGTAAACAATAATAGTCTAAAATGAAACAGAGGGTAAATTATAAGTTATTTAGCTCATTAGGTTAATATTAGCTTGGAACAATTGGTAGAAATAAAACCTTTGGCTGTAGAAGTAACAATAGAAGTAAAGAGCTGGATTAGTTAATCAGAGTTTCATGCTTCTTCCGAAGCAATCATTAGGCAACGTGCTTCCATAAAGCATGAAACTCTGAGTAGCAAATTAATGTCTTGGACCAACTACATGTAATCCAGCTCTTTACTTCTGTTATCATTTTGCTGTAGTTTAACTACTGAGCACTTTAATAGCTGATAAGAATTTCTACCTGCTATTTGGTTGAAGCAGTATTTAATGTACGACCTATTTTGTTGTGCACATCATCCAGTTTTTGTTCCAGAAATAGTGCAACATTTTCACAATCTGCTAACACGGAAATTGTTGCTATTTTTTGTTTGTAAGTGAAACATTTCAAGACTCTTCTTCTTGTACATAGACTACAACTATATTTTTAGTTTGATACCACAATATTATTTCATACTTAAGTGTGCAAAAATGTTTAGCTGTACTCACATTTAGAAATAAGATATTTGAGCAGACATGCCATGTATGATACCTGCCTCTTTCCTTTGGCAAGGTTCTCGATAAACTGCGGAACCTGTGGTCACCATTCTACAGAATGATGCATTGCTTTATATTGAACTAGATTGTGTAAGTCCAGTATTGGGGAAATATTCTGGTAGTTAAACCCAGTGGGAGGCGTGGTGGCCTCATGGTTAGTGCGCTCATCCCCAGAGTGAGCAGTCTGGGTTCAAGCCCTGGCCGGGGACACTGTGTTGTGTTCTTGGGCAAGACACTTAACTCTCACAGTGCCTCTCTCCACCCAGGAATATAAATGGGTACTGGCGAATTGTTTGGGAAACCTAACAAATTGTGGTGGAGTGACCTGCGATGGACTAGCATCCTGTCCAGGGGGAGTAGAAATACACCTACATGTAACCGCTTCATGCTACAGGAACCGGGATAAGCTCCAGCAGCTATGAGCCAGTCGGCTCCAAGGCTTCACTTAAACCCAGTCTTGGTGTCTTTGGAATGATAAACTGGCCTCTTTCAAATTTGCAGATAACATAACATTACATCGTCCACTACTGGAAACTGCTCGCAATGTTTCAAGCCAATGCTTGCTATGTTCAGGAGGTGTTTTCTGCTTCTAAGGTTTGGCAGGAGGTGGGGTTTGCTTTGTTTTGGAGTGGCTTATTTCTGGGGAGGGGTATTATTTCTTGTAAGAATGATGATAGGGGATGAGTCAAGAGTAGAAACAAACTCCGATGATATGAAACCCAATTGAAATGAACTGGGAATAACAACTAATTTTGTTCAGACAATTTAATGAGGCCAACCAAACAAGGGAATACACGTTTAAGATTTCACACGAAACAAGAATGTTCTATTTTAATATTTCTGTTATCACACACTATGCAAACTTAATGTGGTTGAACAAGTACTTGTTTTACTGCTTTGTGACAATACTGCTTCCAACTTGCACACTCAGATTTTTAACTTGGTGATCTACAGATTGTACCTGTGATCTGTTCTATGTGGAAGTAGATGTATCATAAGTTGTGCATTTTATATAACAAGTTCACTTGTACATTCTTGTAAATCTCATAACTTAAATTAAATTACATGAAAAACATTTTGCAGGTCTTATTATAACGACAAAAAACAACTTTGTTTGCAAGCGGTTTTTATCCTAATGCCTTGCATTAACTTCTCCGCCTATAAATTAGTGTGCAAATAAATAATTAAAGTTTCTGTAATATTTCACTAACAAATTTCTTACGTAATTTCTCTCATAAACAACACAATTTGCTCAAAGACAGACCCTAATACACATACACATAGTTGTTTGTCACAGAGAGCCTTATTAACTCACAACTTCCCCAGGAGATAGTGATAAGAAAAAATACCCTCTCTGTCCACCAATGAATGGGTGGAAAGGGTGGGAATGAAAAGTACTAACAATGATCTTGTCCTGAACTAAAGTGAAAGCAGATAAAGCACACCAGCTGAAATAGGAGATCTGAGTCATGAGGTCAATCTGTTAAACTTGGGAAAGTAGCTATTTTGACAACTCCAAAATAAAACCCAGACTCAGCAAAAAGTTGTTAAAAGTTGACTTGAAGTGAACTGCAGCTAATATAAAGACCACAGTAAATTTCTCTCCTACAGGTGCCTTTACAAATTATGTAGGCAGTGCCAGTGAAGTGCAACAAGATTACGGAAAAAGTCAGACTGCCAAAAACTAAAATATTCATGCCACAAAGAAACTTATATTTCTCATCCACTAACACGTTTGTATAAATATTTGGGTCAGGTGCAAGTTTAGCACAATGCTTGAAGTGCCATTGTGTAGTTCAGAAAATATCCACACCCACCCCATGGAGTGTCAGTGGAAATTCTGAGGGTGTGAGGGGTCTCAAAGCCAACCTTCCAAAGAAATGTATGAAGGAAAACTTAAATTTCCAGAGGGATGAGGGTGGGTTCAAACCAACAAACCATCCATGGGGAAAATTAATATTTTCTGGAACCACACGATGTGTTAGTAGGAGTGACTTTGCTGTGCTGCATGACTGGTATATTGTGAGTTCAAGCACGACACTTCATCTTGGATACATTTGATCACCTGGCTTTGAATCAAGTGAAATGTCTAAGATGCTGCCCTCATATCAAATTACCTAATACCTTCTTCTAAAAATGCAGAGTAACATGCATGCCATCCTTAGGAAGAATCTTCCAAATGGTATCAGCACGTTAAGAAACAATACGTTAGCTCATACATACTAATGTGCCATACTTTACACATACTAATGAGCCATACTTTATACATGTATGTATGTATGTGCGTATGAATAGAAGCGTTTTCAGCTGACACAAATTACGCATACATTTTGGTTTGCTTATATCTGAGCTGCAACGTATGTAGTCATTGTGTTGTTTGGGATAATAGACCTTTTCACAGTTTCTGATGCCTTCTTATTTATGCCACTGAATCGCTATCCAGTGGATAAGTGTTAACAAAACAAACCACGCTATCTGCTGGATGGTGATTTATCTGGTGGATAGTGTTATCCACCCTTCGAACAACCCGGGCCAGAAGCATTAATTTATGAATTTAAATTTTAAGATACTGGGTGAAAGAATTTACTGATTTTATTTGAGGGAAATAGACTTGCTAGAAAAGTCACAATTAAGGTTTTCATGTTTCCATACACTTGTCTGTAAAACTGAGTCACAATTTGTGGGAAAATTTAGAGACATTTGTATGAAAAATTAAAAGTGCAATTCCTCACCTCACAACCAATCTATGGTCTTCAAATTTGACCAAAAAACCTTCTGCTGGGTATGTTTTCCTTGTAACTCATAAAATACTCCAAAAGTCAATCACTCTCAACTTATTGGGCATCAAACTTTTATTTTTTCCCATACATTTACCGCAATTTTTGGTGTGTTTGCCCCCTAAACAAGATGGCAACAGTGGCTGTGAAAAGGTCTATTCCAAACCACTCATTCACTGTTTTGTTTTTCACTGTTGGTACCTTTGGGATAACATGCCATAACCAAACTAACTTGTCAGTCATCTTTAAAACAAATTTGAAGAGCAATACAGAGATTCCCCCTCTGCCTCTACCCTCCCACCCTCAAAGGTTAAGCCACCTGTAATGTTTTTACAGGTCCTTGGGTGGTAAGTCACTTTCCACATCAGATGGACATGGTACAAAAAATTTCCACCAATGACTTTTCTTCCTGAGGATCAAGTGGGTGAACCTGAACTTCTTTCGTTTGAATAAACTGACATGCCATATTCGGAGAAGCTCCTGGAATGATGTGGCATTCGAAAGCGATTCATAGAAATCAACAATCGACATGTCTAAGAGAAGCAGCCATGTCTGGAACAGAAATAATGCAGCAATGAAGCAGGTAATTCCAACAGCTGGAGCAAACAAGACCGCGTATTCCTGTAAGGCTTCACAGCTTTCGCTCATCTTGACATCGTCGAAATATCTCATCAATGAATCCTTTGACGATGAATACCGATGAAGGGCGCTCAAGTGCGGCATGTTAGCAAAAGTTTCTTTGAACTTCTTTAGAGCAAGACCCGACATGCAGCTCACAAAAGGGAAGTAGGCCAGGTAGCAGGCATACAAGAGGCCGAAGAATGCATACGCCAAGAAAGTGTAATAGTAGACGTAGTTTCGGCGCCCGATACAGTTGTTTGTAAAGGGACAGTGGTGGCACATCATTTCCACGCAGGTGTGACACCAGCTGCAGTGATGTGTTCCAGCGCTTCGAACTCGCTTGCACTTCATACATGCTTGGAAAGTTTTCACGAAGCATCTGTCACGCGCGTATTCCTCCTGGGTCTGTGGATATCCGGGGTTAGTGAGGACGGTCATGTAGTAGTTGAAAACAGCGTTTGCCATCATGTAGAGGGTGAAAAACGTATGCCACCACCCTAGCAACGAAGAGTACGGGTTTTCAGGGACATGGGCTTCCAGATAAACAAAGAAAAACAGCCACAACAGAGCGGGGAAAATGAAGCTGATGGGCACGACTTGTACGTAGCTGACAACCGCTCGCGACGGCAGCAACGTCTTGAGTTTAGGAAACAGTCTCGGAAGGATCTGGAAAACAAAAGCGCCAATCACAACAACAACTATACTAAGGCTGAAAGCGATCACAATCAACGCCATTTTGATCTTCAAAGTACAGCGCGGGCACTTGGTGACCAGGCATCTATCAGTGATAATCATCGTTCCCAGGCACAGCCGCTTGACACTGTACTCCAAGATGGCGTTTGTTTGGGGCATAATTTTGTCTGTCGGACTAATCCAGGGCGTTTTTATCATCAGCAGCTTACAAACTCTATTCCCTCGCGGTTCAAGAAAGACCTGGCTATACAAGTTTCTCAAAGGATTGCAGATTACGCCTGTCTTGTTTATATTTGTTTCAGCAATTTGGTTCTTCTTCTTGAAGATTTTGCCAATAGTGGTTGCTAATCCATACTCGTCGCTTCAGGGTATTTGCTATATTATCGCCGCGTGTTACTTCTGGCTAAACATGGTATTTAACTACCTAGCTGCCATGATTGTTTCTCCGGGGTATCCAGAAACGCGTCAAGAGCTTGAAGACGACACTGACATTCATCTTGAGTCGTTGAAATTTTGCACGAAGTGTACACGTGTTCGAGACAGAGGAACTCACCACTGTAGCTCATGCAACTCTTGTGTTATGTTCATGTCGCATCACTGTCCTTTTACAAACAACTGTGTCGGTTTGAACAACTTTGCCCACTTCTACTTGTTCCTATTGCATTGTTGCCTGGGGCTCACTTTTGCCGCATACTGTACTTACACTCCTTTTACGGTTTGTATGCTGAACTACGCGTCTCCTTACAGATCTGGAGTGTGCAATGAACTGGGTGACTATGCTGTCATGTTCATCGTTGTCAGCTTCCTGTTGGTTTTTGTCCTCATGATGTTTTGCTTTCATACCTTTCTTCTCATTGTAGACATGTCAATGATCGACTTTTTGAAAATCTTCCAGAAATTAACCTGCAAGGACTGGTTAAAAACTATTTTGATTGACAGGTGCCTACGTAGAAAGAAGCTGCTTCTGAGGAAACTCTTGCTGTACAGAAGAGAAAGATGGTGGAAGTTTTTTATTCCAGGTTTCAATGAAATTCCTGAACTCCTTCCACCTGATGAATTCCTGGTTTGAAGCAAATTTATACCTGGTTGTACTGGATAACTGGAAGATAAAACTGCTTACATGTACGGGCAGCTGTATAATTACTTCCTTAGGTACTTTTCAGTAGTTTTTAAAATTATTTATTATTTATTAGTGATCTTGGAACAAGGTCGTTAATAATATCATGGTTAGATATATCCTCTCAGGCTAAGAGTCACAAAATAAGTTGGACTGGCATGTGTAGAATTTCCCTATCATAGAAACATACATACCTGCCCCCTAACAAGGGCAAACAATGTCACTGCCAACAATGTATAAGAATTGGCAGTCAACATCCTCAATCACACAACTCAAGCAAAGGGATATCAAAAAACAATACCATGTTAATATTCAAGAAGAAAAAATTATGCTGTCCTCTGATTGATAATAATTGCTCTTTAGTAAAATACACAGAAAAAAATGTTCCTTGATACAAAATGTAAATAAATAAAAACACTACATAGTGCACTAACTTATCAATATTTAAATTCTGTAAAATTGGTGGAAGGCATTAAACGTCTATGATGGTCTATAATATTTTCTATGGTCATCTATGTATGAAATATTCTGTCAAACTGGGGGAAGAGTGTAAATATAACCTCTCTTGTAGAAAAAAAGAGAGATCAGAAAGACCAGATCAAAGGATGTTGGAATTCCTGGGGAGGGATTTAATACTCAGCTCTTCAAGCTTTATTCAGAGAAGTCTGAGGGAAGGTATGTTTTTTCTTGGGGGGCGGGGGAGGGCTGGGGAATTTTGGTATTTTTTTCCAAAAAAAGTGTTGGCCCTCCCTTGCATTTTAACAAAAAAAACTCCTGACCCCCCACCTTTAGCTGACTGATAAAAATGAGACCCTCCCCTCACTACTACAGTCATGGTATGTTCCATGCTGTAGAAACCTCAGAACATTTCGCTGGTGAAAGCAACATGTTTGAATATAAATATATCTCGATGTTGAATGTGTGTGAGCTGAAACAAGAAAATGCGAGCAATCAGTGTGGGATATCTACGTTTTCTAGCTGAGTGTGAATATGGAAGTATAAACTTTGAGTATTATTAAACTTTTGAACATAAAATATCGAAGGGAAAATACACGGGCTTCCCTCTCCGACTAGTTGGCATTGCTGTTGGTTATTTTAATTAAAAGGTTTGTTTGTTTTATAGCACGCAAAATCTGACTCTCAAAAACAAATATTTCCTATGTTTCCAAATTCTGTGAAAGGGACGCAAGTTTCTGTTGGAAAAGGAAACTTCTTGCACTTGATTGAAACCATTAAAAACTTAAATCCTCATTAAAAAAATCTGGAAAAGATGTGTGACCCTCTCTTTGAATAGCTTACAAAGAGGTGTGACCCTCCACTTTTGGTGTTCACTGTCACTGATGACCCTTCCCTCTGAGGCCCCAGCCCTCCCCCTGCCAAGAAAAAAACGTACCTTCCCTAATTCCCAGGCGTGTTGAAAAAAACAAACTCCAAACTCCATTTTAGTTTCCAACAAAATCATGCAACATTTTCGTCTAAAGTATTTTTCATATTCTCGGAAATTAGAGAATAAATAACGTACTCATGTTAATAGTATTATTGTCAGTATTGCCTCTCTACCTGTTCCGTATTTCAAACTCTCAAGGGTAGGGTGGAGTAAGCTTTTGCACCGCACCCCTCAGGAAATCACGGTCCACCCCGCAGTCTCGAAGCGAAACACGCGTGGTTTTGAAGTTTGCCCGAGTTTTCACAGTGAAGGTTGGGATTCGTGAGAGCACGGTTTTTATCGTTTTAACTAGTTTATTCTACATAATGGAGCCTCAAATGCTCGTAAACCAGGGTCTCAGCGAAAGCGTCGCTCAAAAGATGTCTGAAATTTTCGCTTGTGGGCTTCTTTCACCCGAGGAGCTCGATGATAGAGCGTTCGAAGCACTTCGCGAATTCAACCAAGAAGGCGCTTTAGAAGTGTTAGATCAGTTTGCAAACAGCGATTTATCTCATGTGCAGAACAAGAGTGCGTTTCTTTGCGGAGTGATGAAAACATACGTGACAAAATCTTCGTCGGGCGGCGAAGCCACAAGTAACGAAGCTTCGAGTAGAGCGGACGAAGGCAAGATCAAGGCATTGCTGGAAAGAACGGGCTACACTTTAGATATCACCTCAGGACAGAGGAAATACGGTGGTCCACCGCCCGGCTGGGACGGCCCTGTACCTGGTACTGGTGGTAGCGAAGTAAGTGAAGTTATTTACGCTGTTTTTACAGGACTACAATGCTTTGAAATTGTCAAGAATCGATCTTGGCGTGGCGTGGTTGGTATTGTAATGGTCATTCAGATGCACTGCTGACTCAAGTACATTTAACTTAAGTGCTCTTCTTGACATAATGTTTTGTTTATATCATGTTTCAAAAATTGTTGAAAAGGTTTAGAGTAAATCGAAATTTGAAGGTTGAAATTATGTCCGCTTACAGTGCCTAACGGAAGTCTTAAGTTTAGCTTATAAAAATTAAGCTCAAATAATTAAGCATTGGCTTATTTTGGGTTTAATTTCATTCCTCAATCTGTTTTAGAGCTACCATACCAAACCATACAAAGAAAGTTGTGATTCTATCTTGTAAATGTTAAGATAAACGTGAACTCGACCAGAGCATGTCAAAAAGCTGTCACACATGCTACCAGAATCTAAAACGAGCTAAAATTGATTCAGCTGTTACTATGAAATACACTGAAGCAAGACTATCACAAGTTTGGTTTTGTTTGACAAACTAGGTTGTGATGCAAATGTTTTTATCTAGTGTAAAATATTGACAGTACTCCTTGCGAATACCTATAGCAGTGCCTTAAAATCCATCAAATATTTTCGTTCACGTGCAGTTGGTCTAGGTGCATCATGTGACTGAATATTTCCTGCGGGATATCTGAGTGATATTCCCCAAATTTCAAATCCAATGTTTTGCAAAAAATATTTGAAGGATAATAAACAATTGCTGTTCCTCACGGCTCACAGTTTTCCTTGAGCTTTTCATTTCATCTCTCATTGTAACATTCTTTGCTTACAGAAAGGTTGCTGCCAGGTGTTTGTTGGAAAGATTCCTCGCGATTGTTTTGAAGATGAGGTCATTCCACTTCTTGAAGAGTGTGGTCAGATCTACGACTTCCGTTTGATGATGGACCCTGAATCAGGGCTGAACAGAGGCTTTGGTTTTTGTACGTATACGACCAAAGCTGGAGCACAGAATGCAGTCAAGAAACTTGATAACAAAGAAATCCGCCCAGGAAAGAAGTTGGGAGTTTGTGTCTCAGTCGCAAACAATCGGCTCTTTGTCGGTTCCATTCCTAAGAGCAAGTCCAAGCAAGAAATCTTTGATGAATTTGGGAGAGTTACTTCAGATCTGACCGATGTGATTGTCTATCTGTCACCGGAACAAAAGGGTAGAAACAGAGGTTTTGCCTTCTTGGAATATGAAAGCCACAAAGCTGCAGCTTTGGCAAAACGTCGTCTTCAGAGTGGAAAGGTGTTCGTTTGGGGGATGACTGTTGCTAAAGTTGAGTGGGCTGATCCCCAGGAAGAACCAAATGAGGAAGTTATGGCCAAGGTCAGTATTTGACTGTTTTGTTTCAGCTCAGTCATGAATTTTCTGGTAAAAGTAACAGCCTAAATAGGACACACTAATTGCTACATGTAACTACTCACATTGCTTTTTTGTCTTTGTGACAAACTCCCTCTTAACTCCTAATTTATAAGGGGGATGTGGTGGCCTAGTAATTGTTAGATTTTGGAGCAAATTGAGCCACATCATGGAGTTATGTTCTTTGGTGTTCAAATCAGCATGCAAAGGAAGTCTTGTGTGATAGCTTGGGGCTAGTAGATTGGATTTCACTTGCGTGGCAGGCAAGTGAAGTTTCCCTTGGGAAAATTTTTAGGAAATGCATGTCACGGAAGTACTGTAAAAGATGAAATTTTGTGGACTGGTGAACATGACTTTTGGGCAAGTACATCATATTAGTAAACCTGTGTCAGGGCTCAAAATAATTTTCGGACCGTGGCTGATCATGTTGACCGGCTAAAGTCATTTTTAACTCGGTCACGTCTCGTTTCTGACCAGTCAAGATATTTAAAAAAAGTTTAAGTAATGTTGGCCTAATTAAACCCACATGTGTAATTTGTTTGTTCCAGTCGTTGTTATACCGTTAAAAAATTGGCTTAATACAAAGAAAAGCTTAAAACGTAACCCAAGATAGCCTTGGCAGGGCTCAGCAGCTCAATGAAGTGGCACACTTTCAGTGGAAGCCAAAGAAAAAGTATTGAACAGATGCATATGTAATGAAACTCCGAATTTTTCCATCAGTTTATTGAATTCCATGAGCTGTTGTTTTGATGTTCTACAAAGTATTTGCATCCATCAAAACGTCAATGAAACCAAATGTGCATCAGCAGATCCTAATTTTGGGCTTCAGAAATAACTGGGTGAACAAATATAGCCGAAGAAGAAGTTTCTGTTTCTTCAATTCTCACCCGTGCGAACGCACAATAAATCATCGTGTTACTACGAATACGGCTGCAGTTACACAACAAGTGTTGGGAAGTTTCTTAACGATGTGACCAAAATTAAGTTCTAAAGTCTAAGCCACAAAAAATCTAAACTCTCTTGTAGTCATATTATAGAGAGTTTTCGTTCAGGAAGAACTAATCACCATCGCTTGGTAGATTTTACCACTGATGGCAGGGAGATTTTGGTCACGTGCAAAGCAACAATTTGAGAGTGTCTTAAATTTCATTCACGAACAAAATAACTTTACAGACACATATATAAAGCCCTCGTCTTTTTTGTTGGTACATAAATATTTTTGTCCATTTTGTAACAGTAACTTTAATCATTTGGTTCTAAATTAGATACTGGGTTCATGCTCAAAGTTATATTTATGGCTTGATGGAAACAAAGCAGACTGCAAAATGCATGTTTTGATGTCCCAGAGTCCCATAGTGTCTGAAGTTGGAAACAACTTGACAATTGAACAAAAAGTTTTGTTTTTGGCATCTTTTTTGTCAATTTCTGTGCAGTGAAAGTGAAACAAACAACAAATATCTTGACTTCTGTAGTCAAGCAATACCTTTGAAGTATATGTTATCAAAGAGAGGTGCTCTGTGTCAAGAGTGTGACAGTTGGGCAAATCTGAAATGTCATGAAAAGCTGAATCTGATCGGGTTCCCTTTGCTGTATGGAAAACCTGTGCTGTTCAAAAGGCTGAATAGTTTTGAATTCTGAATTGAACCCTTCTGCTGTCCTAACAGATGAAAACTGTTTTTGAACGGATAGCAGCAGTTGTTCGAATAGCTTAATATTTTTCTGAACTGATAACCCCAGCCATTCAAATGGCATTCTTATCGATCTTGAACACAAGACACTGACAAACAGCAAGCGGACGATTTTTAGCCGTTCACACAGACACCTGTTGGTGTACATTTTCGTGTGAGAGGTCATAATAAAAAAGAGATTAAAAATCTAAGATTTACAGTTGAGGATTTGACTGTGTATAGAGTGTGTTCACGTGACGTCATTAAATTCTCAAATCCAAAACTAAAGAGCCCTTGAAGGTTTTATCCTCATCAGGCATAAGAGGTACTAAATTTAAATCTGTTTACAACTTTCCAGCTCAATGGTGTCCTTCGTTTGGAAACCAGCACATTTTGAATTTCGTAGCTATGGCAGTACATGACATGAAGCATCCCTTTTGTAGGTTAAGGTGGTCTACGTCCAAAACCTTTCTCCCAATATTACAGAAGAGAAGTTTACACTAGATGTATTTTCCGGCCGCCATATTAGAGGACTAAGGAGGTCCTCCAACATGACGGCTTTATACTAGACTCTATAATTTTGCGTGGAACATTTTGACAAATATCTCAACTTTTAGACAGCGCACATACCTTAAACTTGGAGAACTGTCTTCTTTATTTATCGTCTATAATATCACAATTTCTTGACTTTATCCACTGAATGGTTTTTGATTTAATTTTTTATTGCGTGAGAATGTACACACTTTCTTCAAGAATGAACAACGTGACCGTCTCAACATGACATGACCGCTCAACATGACCGGCAAGTGAAGATTTTGGCTGGACATTGTCCATTGATTGTCCATTATTTTGAGCCCTGCCATGTTGGACTTGGCATCCCATCCATTGGGTGTGAATAGAACTTCTCTGGGCCACTTATGCTTTGGAAAGTCTAAAAAAGCACCTTCCTGTCTGGTGTCCCTCTTCACCTTAGAGTAGGCCCCATGCAGTCCCCCCTGGGTTAAAATACAATGTAATAGGTTCATACTGTTTACCAGCAGTTAACCCATTGTGATTTAAAGCAGGCATTAAAGGAAGTCATATTAAATAATGAATAACTAGTTATTCAATTTTGATGGCCCTGAAACTGTCCTTACTTCAGTTATTACATCCCTTTTGTAGGTGAAGGTGGTCTACGTCCGAAACCTTTCTCCCAATATTACAGAAGAGAAGTTACAGGAAGAGTTTGGACAGTATGGAACTGTAGAAAGAGTGAAAAAGATCAAAGATTATGCTTTTGTCCACTTCACTGAGCGCCAGAATGCATTAAGTGCCATTGAAGCCCTTGACAATCAATTTTGGGATGAGATTGCCATAAGTGTGTCCCTGGCAAAGCCTCAACCAGCCAACAAGGACAACAGACGGAGAGGAGGCCCTGGTATGGGTCCAGGTCCTCGTGGCAACCAACCTCGTGGTGGAGGACCCAGAGGGAGAGGTCGTGGGAGAGGTGGATATGACCAAGGCGGATATGATTACAGTGGTGGATATGACTCATATGGTGGAGGTTATGGCGATGAAAGTAATTATGATAGTTATTATGATGATGGCAGCTATGGTGGAAGTGGTTATGGTGGTGGGTATGGCAATAGTGGGTATGGCAGTGATGGATATGGTGGAAGAGGAGGTTACTCCAGTCGTGGTGGGGGAAGAGGTGGTCCAAGAGGCTCGTACTCTCGTGGAGGTCAAGGTGGGCCAAGCAGGGGTGGATCAAGTCGAGGTGGAAGCGGTGGTGGCTTTGGTCGTGGAGCTAGGGGTTCACGTGGTGGTCCACCAAGAGGAAGGGGTGGGGAAGGTGGAGGAAGGGGCTTTGGTCCACAGAAGCGCAAATATGGTGGTGACAGCTATCAAGGGGGTGGTGGCGGTGGCTACTCTGAACCAAAGAGGCAGTATGTTGATTACAGTCACCAGTACGGCCAGCAGGAGTCACAGCAGCAGTGGGGCCAAGACTATGGCTACAGTGACCAGGGTGATCAGCAGTGGCACCAGGACAGCTGGTCACAGCAGCAGTGGTAGTGATTATGCAGATTGGCAGCCATTCAACCTATCCAACCAGATTTGTGATGAATTGATCCAATTTTTTTTGTTTGGAGCCCAATCATTTCTTTATCTTTGATTGGATTGGAAAACTGGGTCAAACTTTGAGAAAATGCACATAATTTGATGCCACATATTAGTCTGTTTTTAGCAAAAGCATTCCGCCATGCAAATGTCGTAAAATACTTTAGAAATTGATACCATCAGATCTTCAGACTTGAGAGTCCAAAACGAAATTGTGTAGCAGTTCTTATACAGTTGTAGTTCACTCCAAAGTCTATTTTCAATGTATCTGAATCAAATTTCAAATTCCATTTTTTTTTATGTTTTTACTTAGTTCATTTTGGGCTTAGTTATTTAAAAGTACATGCACTATACTCCCAAAATAGTTTAGCAAAAGTTGAAATCTGAAAGATTACAAACCTTTGATTGATTAAGTGGGTTAAAGTTAAATTCATATAGTCATAAAGTCAAATAAAATTGCTTTTACAAAATTGGCCAGCAATCAATGTTGGCTTGAAATTGTATGTTGTCATTTGCTGTCTCCAAAACGAAGAAGAAAATCACTGTGAAATTACGTCAAGAAATCAAAGGAGAATGTCACAATGATTAAAAGAAATAATGATGCATACCATGAAGAAATTTGAAGAAAGGCATGATTAAATTGCATCAAGAAATTTGGAGCATGTCATGATGAAATTACATCAAGAAATTTAAAGAAATTCATGATGAAATTACATCAAGAAATTTAAAGAAGAAAATCATGATGAAATTGCATTGAGGAAATTTAGTATCAATTGATTCAAAATTTTCCAGCTAAGTTGCAGCAGCATGGCAGTGTGATCTGGTAAGTGTTCTACTCTAATGTTAATTTTGGTACTTGTCTTGAACTGAAGGATCCTCTCTTCCCATTTTACTGCAGTATGGTTGACCATTATGTTATCAGGACATCCAGACCACCAAATGGCACTTTTCTCTCCTCTCCTTTTCTTTGATTCTGTTTGCAACCTGATAACCAACCTGGAAAGGGAGTACTAGGCAAATGTCTAGAGGTAAAACCTCTCAGAAGGAACACACATACCACGTACAACTCCTTTTCATCCATCCCCTTTTGCATCCACAAAATCATGTCATGGTTTAGCCTTGTCCCTAGGGAAGTCCATGTCCATGAAGTGCCCAGGGTACGAACAGCCCCCACCTCTAAGTACAAATTCACTACACTTCCACATTCACAAATCCTACCAGTGTGTGCACACCCATGGTAGCACTCCCTTTTGAACACGCATCTATCATACCCCAACCCTGTGCAACTGTTAGCCTCCAACTCTGCACATATGCACCGGTGAAACCGACTGCTATGTGCACGTGCATAAAGTAAAAGTACTTCAGCCTTCAATGGGTTTTTTGACTATTTTGTATTTTGCCCCACCCCCGCCCCTCCAACACCCAGACACGTTTTATAGGGGATTATTACAGGAGGCTAAATCCTTGGAAAATTATGACTCGCCTTTCAACAGTCCTTGTTAAAAGTCTGAAGCCCTCATTAACTGATCAGAAACTGATTTTTCAGCATGTGTCTGTCTTATCACTGGTAGTCAAAGTCGCCAACGATTTTTCCCGGGGTGCATTGCTTCTAAAAACCATGGTTACAAGTATTAGTTAAGATCCATTTAATTACTTCCATCGTCAATCAGAAAAATAAAGATTTGACCATGTCCCATTAGTCTTCCTGGAGCCCCACCTTGGGGATTTGCAAAAATATTCGTGCCCTACCTTGGGACGTGAAGATGCTTTGAACTGACACCACCGTTACCATAGTACGCAGCACGCGTTTCACATAACCTGAGGTTAATGGCCTAACTCATCGCGAGTCTCTCTTTAGCTTAGTGGTTAGATCACCACAACCCGAGAGGTCATGGGTTTCAATACCGTCGGGGAGAAAGATATTCTTTTGTCCCACGCAAGCGACGCAATGAATATGTCACCCTTTTTTATATATATTACGTCGGAACCTTCTTCGCGTTTTCTACGTTTCTGACTGTCACACTGATGCCCCGCTAGTATCGGAGGAACGTTGTTTTCGAACTCGCTACAAGTACCGTCAGTTGAACAAATTGATTCGTTTCTAAACTTCCTGTTATGCCGCGTGATAGAGCCTTCTGTCACGCAGCGCAACGCTCTCTGGATCATGGAGAGGGGTAGAGTTGCGTGACAGAGAGAGGGTCAAAACTTGACTTTGATACATCCTGATCGAGTTGACGATTATTATCTTGAAGCTGACACTGAGAAAAACTCAAACTAAGAGACCTTGAGTGTGTTCCCGTACTTCTAAGTCCACGGCAATAACATTGAATACCGTTGTTTCTTTCGTGTTTTAATTCCACGTATCCCAAGCCACTTTATAGTCAAAAGAACGTCGGGAATATCTCGCTCAATATTTAACTCATTTCTCTCGTATTAATCACAGTTAATGTATTGCTCAGACCTCTGATTTGGCTGTAACGAGAACACTTCCGTAGAACGGCAAGCGTTGCAATCCCTGCCATGTAGGCGTTTAGAAAATAACCCAAAGCAAACGTGCGCTGATTGGTTTAAAACCGTGTTTCCATTTAACAGTTAGATTATGATTTCTGTGAGGTGATAGTTGATAAGGCTCAAGGCCGAATCAAGTATCGCCTCATAGAAATCTTGAGCTCATAATCTAATTGTTTAAGTAGAATTCTGGCTAGAATTTCCCTCAAATAACGATTCCAATTATTTCTTGTCTTGGTATTAAACTTCGTGCTTTAGAGAATTCGCGCAGGCTGAATCGTCAATTTGACATAAGCAGCTGTATACGCGCGCTTGTCAGTTTCTTTCTAAAATTTCGAGGTTTTTTAATTCAAGAAACTGTTAATGCCCTACTTTCAGTCGTCTCGAGAATTTTTTTTACTGGTTTGCTTCTAAATGTTCTTTTTAATTTCGGAGAAACGAGGAAACGCTGCAATTTTGTCAACCGCACCAAGCCACTGCACGCTAATGGCTGATAGTGTGCAATGGCTCAGCCAATCAGATTACAGCATTTGCATTAGTACACCAGTAGAATTCTACTAAAACTCGATAGAAACACAGACCTAGCACGAGCTGTAGACTTAGTGATGGCGCGAGCAAAGAGAATATACATATTGATGATCGAAGTAACTAAGTTGTTGTTGTTGTTTTTTGTCGCGGTATTTCCTAAAAGAAGTTAGAAACATGTTCTCCATGTTCGTACCGAGTTATAGAAACACTCGTGAAAGTTTGGGAGAACTCGAAAAATCTGCGGAAACACTCGCCTGTCGGCTCGTGTTCCCATAGCGTTTTTCGTTCTCTCGATCTTTCACTCTGTTTGTATTTGACAATTAGATTATGAGCTCGAGATTTTTATCGCGCACAGAAATCGAGAGCGAATAATCTAATTGTTTTAGTATAAATCTACCAGTTGTTCAAAACTTTATCTAAATCCTCACAGTGACCGTCGTGTTGTTTACAAGCGTACAATGCTACGCTACTCATTATCTATAACAGAATAGATCGTGAGTAGCGTAGCCAATCAGAGAACAGCATTCGTGATAGAACGCTAGTAGATTTATACTAAAACTTGATAGGAGAAACACGGTACATGTTTTTTTATTTCTTAATTGTGGACAGAAAAGGTAGCGCTTTCATATACCTCGAATAGATTAGAACATGGTACCGCTTACACATACTTACTCTAGGCACACCAAATCCCTATCTATAACCGCAGGTGGAGTGAGTAACGCCTTAGAAAACTTGGCAACTCGTCCGTTAACTAAGTTGTTTTATTCGAGGTATTTTGAAAGGGTCTTTTAATACCTAAATGACAGTTTTCCCTGCTCTTTTCGTGAAATCGCTACTCGCTTAAAATATTAGCCAGCGGTAGCCCCTTTGGGCGGAGCCTCTCCGTGTATTAAGGGAAACAAAGCCCTGGATAAATAGATTGAAGAAATTATCCTCGCAATTTTGTTTGCAACTAAAGCATACTATTTCAACGGAACGTTAAAAAAATAGGTCTTTAACAGGAATAAATCTTATGACTTCGGGGTCACCAAAGCCATGTTCTACCAGCTGAGCTGTGCCTTTATGAGAGTGTGTAGCAAGAGGCGATTTAAATGTGGCGCCATTTTCGGAATAGGTTTAGAGAATGCAATGGTCAGTGTTTTTGTCTCTATTATACTTCTTTAACGTTGTTATTCTCTTTGTCATGCAGGTGGTGATGAAAAGTGCCTTCTACAGCAATGGGAATAACCTCTTCTATCGTGTCCATTATTGTTTCTTAAAATAATATTTATTTCGCGAGCCCTCTTGTCTAATGAAGTATTAACTTTTAATATTTTATCGGTGCTTGTGGCTCTTGATTTAAGTTTTCTCGCGTTCAAATATTCCCGTCTGATTAAAAAAAAAAACATACACCAGGCAGGTCTTGAGAGAGAATCGCAGTGTTGTAAGAGAACGTCACTCGAATGCCTTTTTTTCGTGCCTTTTTATAATTTCTTAAAGATTTTCGTCACTGATGTCGTCACCAAGAAGAGAAAGAGAGACGCTGATGTTCTCTCGGCTGTGGTCTCGGGTGGATTGAGTGAGCTCGAGGTAAGCATGCCCTCTCCCAGAAAGGGCGTGCCCTCGTGGCTTGCGCTTCCTCCGCCCCGAAACAGTCGGAGTGAAGAGAGAGTCGAAGGCCATTGAACATTATCCTCTTCTGAGGAAGTGGATTTCACGCTCATAGCCTTTATTGTGCTTTGAGCGTGATGGACAGAGAAAGATTTGGTTTCGAGTTTGATGTCAAGTTGAAGTCTTTTTAGGAGTTCACAGGAGGCGTTCCACTGCTGTGAGTTGAATATTCATTTTTTTCGTTTACTGTTAGATAAAATAGGAACCACACGACTTTTCGTTAATAAAGGAATTAAATCAAAGGTTGCCTTGTTATTTTGCGTGTTTAATAATTTATCCTGAATGACTAACATATCACGGCAACGAGATTCTCATTTGAGACGTTAGCTTGCATGCAGACGTGCTACGTGATGGGACGTATTTTTTACTGTAACCTCTGGCTTGTGTTACAGCCACTCACAAAAGAAAAAATATTTCGGGCGGGGCGGCTGTAACAGGCTAGGCAATATCCTGCGGGTGTGAGTCAATCGGAGGGTTTTCGGAGCATTCTATACCGGCGCAATGACCCTGAGCTTGAATCTGGATATCAGGGCGCTTGTCATTAAACCATATAGCGCTTCCTTCTGCGAGGAGATTGAGGGTGTAAAGTTGCCTAGTTCCTAGGCCTCAATATTTCGCCGCGGTCAATCGTTTCGGGTCACCTGGGCCGCTTGTCTGGGATACGTCACCGAAATCAATTAACCGCGAAGGCCAGGCAAGGTATAAAGGATAATTTCTTCTCTAGTCGGGTTGCATTTCGGTTGTCCTCATATAGTATCCTCTATCTTATAGACATAGACAGTGTATTTTACTTGGTCGCACTTATAGCTATGGTAACGGTGCCTGCTATAGACGTATCGATTTCGGTACGTGCTTGGGGCGTAGACCAAGAGGGGTACATGTGCAGTCAGCCTTCCTCCTCTTGTAACATGCACACCACGCAGCGTTTCCTCGCATCAGAGAAAACTGGAATGTGCTCAGTTTCAAAATCTCCTGGAGGAGGGCTAGGAGGAGCTGGTTTTGTTGTGGCGTGTGCAGGTGGTGTATCATAATCTGGGAAGTCATAGAGTTGTCTAACAATCTCTTCTCTGAATTGAGTCTGTGAATAACCAACGGTCCTGTGAAGGGCTTCAATATCAGAAAACTTAGCCTGGTGCTCTTTGAAAAGAATAAACTATTAACTACAGCTAGAAGTGGTCGCTTACGAGAGGTGGTCGCAACCGGAGGCTCGAGTGTACTTTATTATCCACCCACTGCAGTACTAAACAGGGGGATCCCTATCCTGCAACGCACACTACTCCTTCATCGGTCCCTCTGATGCACTCCGAGTGGTCTTGGATCACTGATCACCCCAAAGGAGCGCACCCAAAGCATCTTGACACCAAAATCGCTAGGTGATTGGCTGAATCACTCCAAGCCAGGCAAAAAAGAATAAAAAATAGAGAAAGGAGAGCAATAAAAGGAAGATGAAAGAGTGGAGGAAAAAAAAAAGACTGACATTCCTTTTAATTTTTGTATCGTCCACTTTAGAAAAAACGTCCGAGCAGGTCGCGAATTCTTTGACATGTACTTTTCTTTTATATTTTTTATTTGAATTCCCACACATGGTTACAAATGCGGGTGATGCTACGTAAAGAAAAAGATGGACACTGTTTGGAAACAAAAGCATTACGTATTGAGCTTAGGCCACCTGTTCACCATCCAAGAAAATACAAACAAGCTATCCAGCGAATAGTACTGACAACTGGAGTGAAACTCGGCATCCACGAATCAGGAATCGTGATCGAAAGAACCGGGCACGATTACAAACGAGTAAATATCGATTTGCAGAACCTGAAGGTTTTGTTAGTCCACCCCTAAAATCATTCAACCACGTTGTTTTGGCGTCGGTCGATTCTGCAGAGTTAGTGGCGGTGAAAAGTTTGGGTTACCATTGAACAGTCTAGCCATGGAATCAACCCAAGAGTTGTCCGAAGAGGCGCAGCAACTCGTAAACGAAGGCCTGAGTGTTAAAGTTGCTCAAAGAGTAGGAGCGATCTTTGCTACCGGTTCCCTTGCTCCTAGCGAGTTAGATGACAGAGCGTTGGACGCTTTACGTGAATTCAACGAAGACGGAGCACTAGAAGTCTTGGATCAGTTTGGAAGTAGTGATCTGTCCCACGTGCAGAATAAAAGCGCATTTCTCTGTGGTGTAATGAAGACTTACCGCGAGAAAAACCGACAGAAAGCCCAGGGACACACTCCGGGCACCGAAGCATTGAGTGGACCCGATGAAGAGAAGATCAAGGCGTTATTAGACAGAACTGGCTACACTTTGGATATTACCACTGGGCAGAGAAAGTACGGTGGCCCACCGCCTAACTGGGAAGGTCCTCCACCAGGAACAGGCAGCGAGGTATTTTAGCTCGAATAAACTTGTTTTTAACGTTTTATATAGAGTTTTCGACAACCTTGAAGTTGTAATACTGCTTACAACCATGTGCCTCTGAGGCGCCTTGAATAAAATTATTGGTGCTGGCTACCGATTATTCATTCGAATTCGAATGATTGCACTAGTTTTTCTCCACCGAATTTAAAGTGGAATATATTCCGTTCTCCTCACAAGGTTAACTGACTATGATCCCGTGGAAGTGGAATTCGAAGAGCTCACAGTTGGGGCTGATATGCTGTATCATTAGGAGCTTATAATTATTACATGACATAAGTTAGTTCTGAGGGCCTGTAACTGAAATAAGCTATTCAGATTCTGATTGCTACGTTGCTGGTCCAACATTTTTACAGGTGTTGGACTGGGCACTGCCCCGAATGATCCCTGTGACCACGCCTGAGGATTTTGTTGTAGTTTACGCCATACTTTGCCACCTGTTTTTTCATAATTTATTTAAACATTGAACGTGAGTTAATGCCCTGCACAGAATTGGGAGTTTAAAGTTTACAAGTGGCTTCCAATTCTGCATTTGTGGAATTTTTTCTAACCAATTTCGGTCGTGTATTAACCAAGCTTGCTCAGGACATTTATTCGGAGAGTATTGGCCCTGGGTTTTTTTTTTGTATAGACTGGTTACAAGATGTTGGACTAGTATTCTCATAAGAATGGCCCTGAGGCTTGGGTTAATATATACATCAGTTCATTTGAAAGAGGGGCAAACTTATGACAATATTACCAAGTGGAATCTAATTTGGTGTGTAATCGTACAAAGTGGTTGACGAATCACTTAATAGTGTAATATTTGGACACTATTATTTGCCTTTTTATATTTTTTGTCAAGATTGTAGTCTCTGGTTGATTATTTATATGACTCCACAAACTTTGAACTTTGATTTATATTGGCCGTATATAAATGACCCTCAAGACCCTCCATCATACGTGGGGGGACCGCTCAGAAACTGGCCCAGAACAGGCAGGAATGGGGTACCTTTGTTGCTGCCCTACATGCCAGCTGGCATAATGGGCTTGAGTGAGTGTGAGTGAGTATATAAATGTAGCTATTCTAGTAACCTCTGTGTATTTTTCCTTATGCAGAAAGTTTGCTGCCAGGTTTTTGTTGGCAAGATTCCGAGGGATTGCTTTGAAGATGAGCTTGTACCAGTGTTAGAGGAAAGTGGAAGAATCTACGACTTTCGACTCATGGTGGACCCACTGACAGGTCAAAACCGAGGATATGGCTTCTGCACGTACTCTGCCAAAGAGGAGGCACAAGATGCCATGAAGAAGCTCGACACCAAAGAAATCAGACCTGGTAGAAGGCTTGGGGTTTGCTTATCTGTGGCAAACAACCGGTTGTTTGTTGGCTCCATTCCCAAGACAAAGAATAAACAAGAGATCTTTGAAGAGTTCACCAAAGTTACTGCTGGACTGACTGATGTGATTGTGTACATGTCAGCAGAAAACAAAACAAGGAACAGGGGCTTTGCCTTCCTGGAGTATGAAAGTCACCAGGCAGCATCTTTGGCTCGTCGTAGGCTGGCTAGTGGAAGGGTGAAAGTCTGGGGTAATATCGTAGTGACTGTGGATTGGGCAGATCCGCAAGAAGAACCTGATGCAGATGTCATGTCAAAGGTAAGGGATTATTGTGTTACAGTTTCAAACAACAGTTTTGCAAAATTAACCAATGCCACAGGTGGCTTTTGAAACCCTCTCTGTGAACGTCTTTCATTTCTGCTCTGGTCTAAGTAAAGTTGGCTTCCTACATGTGTACACTATCAGATAGTGAATTTTATTAATTTTCTTGTTAAACATGTGTGACAACTATTGATTGATTTTTAAGGAGATGGTAAAGTAGATAGTAAAAATCTGGGGTTTTGCAAGGTCTCTAAAAATTCATAGGAGTTTACTTTTAAAATACTGGAAAATAGTAGACATAAAGCAATGAAATTCCCATGCAATCTTTGTAGAGTATGTTGATTAATGATTTTCTACTACCATACATTCCTCCTCTTTAAGTCCTCTCCCTTACAGCATGATATTGTAACATGACAAAATTTAAAGCCCTGCCCCCCTTCCCAATAATAATAATTATTATTGCTCTCCTTCTTTTATACCGTGTCCTTTTGTGAGACCTTAGTTCACAAACTCCTCAGAGATTAAGTATATATTATATCAACAATCATGGTCTCTGAGTGATGGTGTTCCTCTGCTGCAGTAGCTTGTGCAGCCATGTTCTCACAAGTGTACATTGCTGTTTGTAGGTCAAAGTCCTTTATGTGAGGAATGTTTCTCCCAGTATCACTGAGGATCAGTTGAAAGAAAAGTTTTCAGTGTATGGCACAGTTGAACGAGTCAAGAAATTGAAAGATTATGCCTTCATCCATTTTGTTGAGCGTGATGATGCGGTCAAGGCTATGGAAGAAATGAACAGTGTTGAACTTGATGGTCTTGCAATTGAAGTGTCCTTGGCTAAGCCTCAGCCAGCAAACAAAGAGAAAAGACGTGCTGGGCAGTCTGGATTTGGTGCCTTGAATTCAGGTCGGGGATCCAGGGGTGGACCCCCGCGTGGTGGTCCACCTGGGCGTGGGCGTGGTGGATATGGTGGTGGTGATCGATATGGATATGATGGCTATGATCGAGGTTATGGTGATCAGTATGAAGGTTATGGTGGAGGATATGGCCCCAGAGACAATTACAGTGACAGAGGTTATGGTGACAGTTACTATGATGACTATTATGGTGGTGGTGGTGGTAGTGGATATGGCTATGATCGCTACAGTGAAGGCCCAAGGGGTGGTCCTCCCCGCGGTGGACGTGGTGCACCCAGCCGAGGTGGACGTGGCGGTGGTTTCCCAGGAAGGGGTGGCGATAGAGGGGGAAGAGGATCAGGCCCACGTGGTGGTCCTCCCCGTGGTGGAAGAGGTGGCCCTCCACCCCGTGGTGGACCCAGAGGCGGAGGTGTTGCTCCAGCAAAAAGGAAGTATGGTGCAGACTCGCATCAGGCACCTGTAGAGTACCCCGAGCCAAAGCGTAGGTTCATGGGGCAGAACCAGTCAGGTGGTTGGGGAAGCCAACCAATCGCCCAGCAGCCATTGTACGATGGTGGAGGGTACGGCAATCAAGGATCCAACCAAGAGTGGCACAGTGATGGTAATTGGCAGCAGTGGTAATCGTCGAGAAGAGAAATTTTGGCTTGTGGTTGATTTTGATTTGGCAACTTATTCTACGGCCTTTCTCTGTTTGTTTTGGCTTTAAGTTTTGAGATGACTGAATTTGGTGTTAACATATATCAAGCTATTTGGCAGGCTGTTGACTTGTTAAGTTGCTGATTCAGTTTGGAAGACTCAAATGATTTTTTTAGTGTGGCACCAATCTGAAAGATCTTTTTTATATTCAAGTTTATGCGATTGGACATGAATGTCTTTTAGGAGTTTTAAAGAGCTTTTAGTTTAACGTCAATAGCTTCAACTTGCGTAGTTGCATTCAGTTACTTTTAGACAATCTGGACTGTCTGTACTGAATATGAGTTCCAGCTTTTTATTACTCAGAAAACTTCATGGCAGTTAGTTTTTAAGTTAAGTGAAACAATTAACTAGTGTAAGCTAGAAATGTCATTTTGGCAGTAACTATACATGTTAATGTGGTTTGGTATCAAAAGACGACCAAGCAATTTTGGCTTGCAAAGTCAGTTGAATCAAATCAACTTGCAGAACTAAAACTGCTAATAAAGTAAATTCAACAAAATTGCCCAGCAAGAAAAAGCTGGCTAAAATCCAACTCTGAACTTGTGTCTGGTTTCCCAGTGTGCAAAATATTTCCCTGAAAATTCACCCAAAATCAAGAAAACCTAAAATCCCTAAATTAAAGAAAAAAGAAAGAAAAGGTGAAGAAGCATTCATTTGCTGAGTGGTGGAGGTAAGTATTGAGGCTATGGTGGTCTCTTATTTATTTTATATTTTATGTTATCCTTCCCGTATGCAGGTTCCCACTGATTTCATTGTAAGTGCAGATTTTTAGAAAACATTCTGATAAAACCCCACTCTGGCAATTTCAGAGTTGCCTTTTTCTTCTACTTCAAAACGAGTGCCGGTGCTATCTTTTCATATTGCAGCAACTTTTATTTGCACGTTGATTGTCTAGCAAATCACACTGATCTACAAAATGATGGCTTCAATATTATCCAAAATGCCGCAAAGTCTAAACTCTGAGAATGTGTTTAAATTGGGTTGAACGTACTGTTACTGCTCAAAACTGCATTTTCATTGGCCTTAAGCTTTTGTATCGAAGCCTAGTTTAGCCTTACTACGATTTTTTTTAAGACTACAATTCCAAATGCCTTTCTTACGTCTTGCGAACTAATGTGGTTACCATGGTGACTTAAATATATTCTCTGATTACTATACAAACCTCAAAGTCCCTAAGATCTAATGATATTCTAAGAAGCGGAAAAGGGGCAGTGCATAATACTAATCCTCCACTACTGAGGTAAAACGTGAACAAGTCAAATAAGATAACGGACTGGGTTTGAATGGGCTTGCTGTTTTTTTGAGTGCTCAACATTAGTCTTTTGTATTGAATGGTCACATTTCACTGCTTATAACAAATTACGGGCGTTGCTCTGCTACAAATTGAAAAGAACATCTTAAGTTTAGTAAACCTTACTAATGAACATTACTGGTCCTTTTATTTCTTTCAATTCTCTTCTTTGGGCCTGATAAAAGCTCAGAGTATTAAATGAGGTCATTGTAATTACAAGGTAGCCGGACGAAAATCATAAATTAGTGTTAACACAGAGGCGCTGCGTGGGAAGGAAAATTCTAAGCGCCTGCGATAAATTCACGTAAAACATTTGGCGGTTCTGTTGCTCTGCTGTTCCGTTGAAAAGCAAACCAAACGGACATCATTGCCAGCTGTGTTGAAAATTGTTTGGGTTTTCCGATTATTTTCCTCTTCCAATGCAACATGAATGTATCTGACGGTTGAATATTCGATTAAAACTTCCTCGAAGGGGCAACCCAGAGCATTCTTTGCTGTGCGAGGAACTCCCTTAGCGCGGTATGTGCGTACAGGGACACGGTGAACAGTTGTACATGTAGTAGTGACCCTGGACTATTGCTTTAATAACTTGGTAGCGCGACAGCGCTTTTATGATCGAGCTTCGAAATGAATTCTCGTTTTATAGTTAAAGAAAAAATTTGGCCTCAAACGGTGAAGATGAGTAGATCTACAGCATTGATTAGAGATACTTTGATAACGGTGCTCCTTTAGCAGTATTGCATTTACACGATGTTGCGTGACGTAACTCCCCTCGGAGAGCGTTACATGGCAGCTCGTTTGAAACGGATAACGTGACTATGAACACACCCACTCAAGTCAAGGGTCACATAGCCTGCGGTGTCACGAAATCCTCGATATACGTAGACGGTAGACTGGAGACTGACTAACGCAGGCTAGTGTGGTTGGGTTTGGCTACAGGGCTTCAATTTGTTACTGCGCGTTACCCGAAGTACGTGTATACCAACATAATTTGTCATAGCGTGACATTTCTTGCATTTAGAGGTGATTAAAAAAAAAAAAACAAAGACGAAGACAAAACAGAAAACAAACAAACAAACAGATCAGACGTCGATAACAATAAACAGAGAATCTTATTCGAGATTCTTTATGAAGGTTTTTGAAGTGGAAAAGTTTGGGTGAGGGAAATATGCGATCTATTTTCCATTTTATTCGAATAGTCTTTGAATGGCAGTATAAAATAATGTTGGAACTAATTCAGGGTGTGTCACTTTCGCCGTCTGAAATTAGTCTCCGAGGGTCTTGCGTTTTTCGTGGTGCAGGACATAAGAAATGAGCGGGAGGGAGGGCGGAAACCGGAAGAAAATGCACAAGGAGGCAGTTCCATCTGGGAAGAAGAGGGTGCCTGTAGTAAAAAGATTGGGGGAGGGGGGGGGGNGGGTGTGGGCAGGCAGTTGAGATCCCCTCATCTAAACATTGTTTATCTTCATGGTAGATGATTTTGCTGTGTTCGAGTTGAACGTCGGTTGTCCATGTTCGTTCTTTTCTGACTGGGGTCTATAATGAAAGGACGAGTCATTGTTTAAACATTGGTGATCTTTTCTTATCAACAGGGAAACGAAACGTCCGAAGAAAAAAATGGGACGTGTTTATCCACAGCGATGCTCGTTTCTTCACACCAGATTTGCGCGGCAAACCCACGTCTTCGATGTGAAACCCTCTCTTGCCTTGTACGTCAAATTTGTCCTGAAGAACTTGAGTGAGTAGATGATTATGTTCGTTTGTAATTTCTGCATTAACGTCAATAAAGTGTTGAAAAGGAAAAAATTGCGATTTTCGATTATTGTTTTACATGTCCCGCCCTGTTCTTTTCAAATCATCTACGGAAAGGGAGGGTCAGGGGCAACTTCTAGGTATTGCGATCAGTTGCGATCAGTGGTGATCAATGGTGGCCAGTGGCGTAAAAGGAGATATTAAAAAGATTGAAGAGACAATAAGCAAGGTAATATCTACCCCAAAACACACCAGCCTTCTCACGGGAGGATGGGTACTCTTGAATGTTCTCCTAGCCTACGAACAGGCTCCCGGCGAGGACGGAAAGAAATTTCGGTCAGCGCGAAACAGAAGAATTCGGAGAACAAAGCGATCGGCGGGTTCGTAGGCTAGTGTTCCCCTCAAAAGATTCTCGTTTCCTTTCGGTTCAAAACCCGTTTCTTCCTTTCTGTTCTTGCCAGAAATCCGCAGGGGCGAGGAAATCGTCACGCAATGTTATTGGAAAGGATCACTCCACGACGTTTCTCGAATAAAGTTGCATTTGCCTTTGCCAGAAAAAAGTTTTAAATGCGACGGTCCCCACTGAAATGCGCCGCTCAAATCGTTTGTTGTGAAGATGATGCACAACTGAGCAATCAATATTTTGACACTACAGTCGAACCTGTAAGCGGCCAACCCTTGTTAAGCGGCCAGTTATCAAGTCCCGAAATTTTTGTCAGTGAAGTACTGTAAGTAAAACCCGTATTAACCGGCCACCTCTATTAAGCGTCCGCAGCCACCTTCTGTTCCTCCCGATGAGGGTTTTTCTATTGTTTTTACCCCCTAGACGATGGCATAAGAGTCCGAAATAGAAGGTGACGAGTGATAAGAACATTTGAACACACGTTTATCGTGATTGTCTTGAGGTGAGTCCATGTTCACTAAGAGATTAACCCGTTATACACCAACCTTAACAGCAATCGCTAACGTTAACGCGTGGGAAAATGTCGAGCAATGTTTGAGAGAGTTATGGTGGCTATTCTCATGTATTTCTTTTCCTTCTACCCGGTTTGCCCCCTTGCCACCATCACGGCTATAAGAGACTGGGGACTAGTATAAATCGTGGCAGGGAGGCCTGGGTAGGACTCGCAAGATAAAAATGGCGGGTAATTTGCTGCCTCGGCGAAGGAAAAGAAAAACATGATGGAGTTCGACTACAACGTAAGCGATTTAGAAGATCTCTCAGAGTGGCCTGATAGCCTGGATTTCGATGAATTCTGCGATTCAAATGAGACCCGCGAGGAGCCATTGGCTAAGCGACAAAAAACTACCATCGACTTTGATGACCATGATCGGCTGCAAACACAAGTGGCGGGTAGGTTTTAATCTAAAGATTTGTTACCGATGCAAAAATCATAGATCATTGATTCTATCGGAAAGGTTTCTATATAGCCCCAAATGTGCATAGAATTTCTATAAGCTAACTACTCTTTAGAAACAAATGGCAACCATGAATAGAAGGAGACCCCGGGGTGGTATTCGCCCGGCGCATCCAGTCGAACAAAATCCAACCAAAATTCAATCGAACCCAGTCGAACACCAATCGCTCGACTGAATTCGGCAATCGAACAAAATCGAACATCTATTTTGCTGTGAGTTCGATTATCGAACTAATCGAACAAAATCGAATGCAATCGAACTCAATCCGATTCGATTTTGTTCGGAAACCATTTCTTGATAAGATCACACAGGAGTAATCATAATCAACCTTTATTAAATGGGATTAATAGAAAAATATCACTTCGGGCTCTTGAGGCTCTCAACATTTCTTTTCGGGTTCACTGAAAACTAGCAGTAATGCGACCTTCAATAGAAATTTCCCCTGACCATGTGGCTATTATGGGGTATTATGCAGATGTGACAATCGTCCTATCAAATTGGTAACAGGATTCACGGGAATTAGGGAGATGGTTCACCGTACAAAATTTCCACAAAATATACACTTGTTTGATAATAGGGTAATATTTAGGCATTTTTTTTCATTACTTCGTTTTTCGTCAGTGTTAATGTTTAAACATAAAAATCAAACAAACAGGAGTTTGGTAATTGCACGTTTGATTGAGTATGACTGTCGACCATTTGGTAATCAAATGTTCAATTTTGTTTGATTGTCAACCGTTTGGCAATCAAGCATTCACTTTCGTTCGATCGACCAAATTTTAGTGTGAGTTTGATTATGTTCAATCGCTGAATCCAATCAAATGATTGGTGTTCCATTGGGTTCAATTACTGAATGTTCGCTTAGATATGTCGGGTACTTGCCAAGGCTTTTGGTAAGGGTGTGTGGCCTGAGCCTTGAAACCTGTACCCTATTTCACACCAAAATCTGTGATTTTCCATACACTCTTTCAGAACTGAAGCAAAAATTGATACCACAATTTCAAACCTCTAAAATTGGTTCATGGCTCCAATATGTGACTGCAGCTAACCAGGAGTGGCTTCTATTCTTGTAAACATCTGAGAAGGGCTACAAATTTACAGGCCAAAATGGTCAAAATCTATGCCCATTTTCAGACCAAAGTTACTACAGTACTTTATTTTTTTCTGTCTTCACCCCAAAGGCTCAGTGATTAGAAAACCAGCAGAGTTCAATTGCAGTGGTCATCTCTCCCCTGGCAGAATTAAGGAGGCACTGTGCCAAAATGGTTACTTAGCAACTGGGGTCTTTAACGCGTGAGTACTTTGTTGAATAGCTGTCAGACTTCCATTCTGAAAGAACATGATTATTTCAGATGGCTGGTGATTTAAACATTAGACTTTCTCAAAGTCATTTGTGGTTGTAGGGGTGGTGAAAATTATGATAAAATCTGAGACTTGCTGAGATGCTGAGACCCTTGTTTGAAAGTGCAAGACTGAAATACAAATGATGTTCAGAGACAAACGACACATGGAAAAGCTTCAGAGCTTCCCAGGAGATTTAAAGATTGGATGGAAAGCTTCTGAGACACAAGGTTTTTTATGTATCATCCACCACCCCTGGCTGTAATCTCCCTATTCCTCACATTTTTTCGCACCCAGGTTGTAATTGTTGCAGACGTTTTCCTTGTTCCTAGCTTAGCTTTCACAGGTCAACTTGTTGGCAATTGTATTGAAATGAATGGCAGTCTATTTCTAGGGGTAGAGAAGATGGTTGCTAAAGTTGAAAGAGTTGAGGCATTTTTTCATAGAACATTTGAATGTCATTTCCAGGAGAGACTTTGTAGGGGGCTAGTTCTAATGAGGGAAAGAGTTTGGCCTCAGTGCCAGTACTCTCCCATGTAAACAGACTGTGATGCTCTTCAGTCTGTGAGTCTTGAAACTTGAGCTTTAGACTTAGTAACATGATTACTGGATGTATAAACCTGACTTAGAAACCATCTGATGTAAAAAGTGAGTCTAGATTTAAAAATTTCCCTCACTAAATTTTCCTTACACTATTTACACTATTGCTCAACCCATAATTCTATAACAGAAAACACATACTGTAACAGTCCCTCTGTCCACCTGGGAGTAAGGATGGGTACTGACAATCTGTTACGGTAACCTGATGAAATGCTGGGTGTTATTTACAATGGGCTAGAATATCATGAATGCAGTTGGATTGGATTGGGTTGGAGTTAGCAGTGGTTTTGCTTGTTCATATGACAGAAACCAGTGTTAAGGGAGCTATGTCAAGATATTTTGAGTTGTATATTTTTTCCTGATGTACAATGTCAATTAAAAACAACAAAAAGGTAATAACCAGAAAATAAATAAGGATGGTTAAGAAAAAGAAAGAGTAAGAGGAGTTATTGACAAACTTGATCAAAATTAGCCAGTTTCTTAAAGATGCACTGTCTGTGACATGGCCCCTTTAAATACCGCCAGTGCTGAATTACTTGGCACATCTAATCCTGACTATTGGAATAGAACTGGCTGTGATCATTGCAGTCTTAAACTTCTCTTATTGTTGAAGGATTCTGCACCAGGAAAATCCATTCCCAGAGATTTTCAGTGACAGGGTGATCCAGTTATTTGGAGCAAATTTTGTAGCAGGCAATGCTCTCCCACATAAGATGGAAACATTATTCTTCATGCTCAGGTGACTATTAAAATACTATGAATGTTGTTCAACTCAGTTGGGAACTCATTGAAGTTTGTAAGTAGTTATCATATGACAAAGTGAAGATCAGAACTTAAATAAATTATATTATATCATAATATCACCATGGTATCACTGCTTTTTATCAATCCACTGAGACCACTCACAGATTCAATATTCAAAATTGACCAATCTTAATTTTTTTTGGTAGTCCAATAAAGACAGAACCAAGTTTCTACTGTTATTCTATCATTGAGTTGCATATCATATAAATCAAGTTTGCTTGGGATTGTATTGGGATAATAGCCAAAGTCAATCATTGATCTTTCATTGATCTATTCATTCTTGTACTTTTAGGCAGCAAGTTTTTAAGCTGGAAAACGATGGAAGCATTACGTCTTTGACTGGTAAAGTTTGAAACAGTTTGAAAAGAAACTATTAGAGGAGAAAAATAAAGAAATGGAAGCATTAGAGAGAAGCATTAGTATTAATTCTGGGTGTTAAACTTCTTAAATCACTTCTTTACAGCTTGTCCTCTGTAATTAATTAGGATGGGAAAAGTTTTAGTTGGTTCAGTGAAAGTTGGAACTTAATTTTGAATTTGAATGTCTGTAGCAATGCTTTGTAAAATATGCTTGAATGAGAATTTTTATGCTTTTGAAGATCATTTCAATATTATTGAAGCGTAATTTGATGTAGCCATAGCCTCCACCCAGTTTTTAAATGGTTTAGCGGCAAACTTAATTCTGGTGGTGACACTGTGATGAGCTAACATCCCAGCCAGGGAAGAGTAGAAATACTCTTTGGTCACTTCTTGCAACAGAAACTGGAGATGAGTGCCAGCCTGATGGACCACAAGATACAAATGCAGACTTTACCCCCAGCATAATAACCCCCTCTGCTAGCTATGATTTAATTAATTGATTGTTATAGCACACTAAACATGTCCTCTCTGGGTGATTCTGTCGTTAGATGATGTGCACAAACGCTGTGTTGAGCTCCGAAGAAAGTGCAGTAAATTTTTTGCCTTTCTCCTCCATGTTACTCACAGGTAAGTCAAGATCACTCACTTTTTACCCCTCTTAGACCAGGCTCACTTCTACCACTGCCTGTAGAGAGAAATTTGACATTGATCATGGTCGTGGAATTTTGTTTGAAATTACTAGTAGTTACGATATCGGAAGTAAAATGCTGCCATATTGTTTACCTGTTCGCCAGTTTCATAAAATACTTGATCGTGTGTCGAATTGATTTTCTACCATAAGAAATCTCTTGAAATGATACTCATGGCCTCTACAGTGACTAGGATGTGAAAGAGCGTAGAAGCTTTCTTTTCTTGCACAGAAAATTAAAACTAATTACTTAAATCCTTATTTTCTTTCACACTAGCCATCTCACCACAGTTCAAGATTGGCACCAAAGTAACGCGCACCTTCATGAATTATTTCTTCTGCCGTCAAGACTAACTAAACAGCTGGAAGATTTGTCTTTGTTTCTTGGGCGACTGTCCTCTCCTCCCTCGTCATCCTTCACAAGGACAAACCAAGTGCCTTCAATTGCTGCTGTACGTTTGACCGCAGGAGGACACTTATTCCATCTCCATTTAGAGCTAAACTGGGCCGCTATTCAAACTCTGTGCTTGATAATGGAAAGGCAAGGTATGTGACCAAGAGAACAGCCGACCGCACTTTTACTTCACTAAGCTGTGCAATACGTAGATGTTCTAGTGTTTCTACTTTTCGTTAGGAGCCCCGCCGAAAGGCAGGGCGACGAAAAATTAGTCTATAGACTCATTCAGTTGTTCTCCTCCACGGAAATCTTTAGTAAAAGGCGAAAGATTTATGCGTGTTGAAGGAAAACCAGAGTTACTATATTTTGGTAGAAGAAACGTTTAAATGCGGCTGTGCTGATTCTTCCATGTGGTTTGCATGTGGCAGATCCATGTGGCATTAGTTGCTAATGCGCACGCGTACTATACGGTTTGTTTAAAAAGAATTGTTTGGACTTGAATTTGATTCAACAGGAAAAAAAAAATGCGGTGTTTTGAGAAGCCAGTTTCAACTTGATCAGTAAGCGCGATTTTAGTTTTTGGTCGAAACTGGGGGAGAAATTTGTCCTCTTATCCGCCGTACGCTTCGATTTATGCTCTCGTGCTATTGTTTTACGGTTCGCTGATCATTGACTCGCAATTATTATAATTATACTGACAATACAAAAGTTTTGCTATAAAATTACCATACACGGAACTAGAACACGTGGACTGAAAACGCTGTTCAAAAAACGGCCACCTTCTCAAAGTCCTTCGCGGTCGTAGCCAGTCAAGCCTGGGTTCCTCTCCCTTGCGCTCGACACTTGGGTCTTCGTGGTCATTTTTTGTTGTTGTAAGCTCGGCTTTCAAAGCTCGAGTTGTGAGTAAATCTAGTAATCTATGGCGTGTTCTGAATTGACTTACTAAGTGATTTTACTTCGTCGTGTTTGTAAAACACCTCGACAAAACAGCGTTACGAGATCAAATCTTATTCCCTGAAGTTCTCAGCAGCTTCAGGGTCATAATTCTCCCTACTGATTTATAGACGTTTTCTGCGATTCTTCGACAAAAAAGTGGTGCGAGATCAAATCTTATTCCTTAGAGTTCTGAGAAGCATCCGAGTCAAAATTCTCCCTACTGGTTTATAGAAGTTTTCTGTGATTCTCTCGTCTCCTCTACCAACTATAGTTTGGAGAACTTGATTTCAACTGAAGTCGCTCTATTATGAGATGGTCTGCCTTTCATTATCTCTTTCTTTCAATGAAAAGATAGCTAAGCAATTAATCAAAACTTGCAATTTAATTTGTCAAAATAGGAAAGCTCTTAACTACAAAAGCGTCTTTACAGTAGCAGCTTCATGGAGGAAATGCAAGCCAAGTGCGGGTGGCGTTATCTTTGTGCTCTACACTTAGCAAAGCTCTAAATATAGGCTGCGGAAATTTGTGGTGGCGGGATCTTGGTAGTGTCGTGTTAGTCATGTCTGGAGTTACAGGCTCACTTCAGTACTTTTCTATTGAATTTTTATCTTTGTGATAGCTTTTCTCACTTCTGTCTCACCAGTATAGTAGTATTGGTTCAGGGACTTAACTATTACAACTGGTTAACGACACCATCCTCGACCTGAACTGAAAAGTCAGTCTTTTATTTCTTTCTCTAATTATTTTGGTTAATCTTCTTATTAACTACATACGATCTAGTCAGCGTAGTAAATTTATTAACGAACAAAAAGTAGTTTTTAGGAACGCGAAACGTCCATGTTCTCCTTTTAATTCTGCGTAATGAACCTAATGGCTGAAGTACATTTCTGCCTTTTAATACATACCATGAAATGTCTTCTTTACAAAGATCAGAAACTGTGCCGCAAAACTGACCTTTATGTCTTCAGTCTTTGTTAGAAATTATAAAATTTAGAACGTGAATACAAAATGTTCTTTACTTAAAGCAAAACTGTCTCAGTTCTCTCTCCAACGATCGTGTTTGCAGACTACATATGCGGTTTGTCACGCTAGAGTGAAAGTATTGCATGACAAGTAACGCGTTGTGTCAAGTTAGAGTTTGACAATTGCGTGACAAGTAAACCTCGACTGTCTGCAGGCTCACGGCAGTCTCGCGGGAGTTCTTCGATGCGAGATGCGCGAAAAGCAGCGATCATGAACGATCAATACTAAATCACCGAAATGAAAACGTTTCTGTTGCGTGTGATGCCACTTTATCTGACTGATACTTCATTAAGATAAAAGCAGTGAAAAAGTAGTTCTTCCCAGTGCGGGTTGTGGAGTCCACGATGAATCACAAATGTTCCAGCACTGAGGCAGTCGTCTAGTCCACTGACTCGCCAGATGGTCGCATCTTTCCCGTGAGAACATTTGTTCCACCACACTCTCTTGCTACGCGATGGCCAGCCTCTTCCGATCACGCTCCAATGAAGGCACACGATGGCGTTTGTAGGCGGCGCCTCAGAGCCCACGCCTAACACGTGTCCGACACAGAAGTATCCTGGAGGAGGCACTGGTCGCCATATGGCTGCCTCTGTGTCGTTGGCATGTGACCTCCACAACTCCTGGTAGTTAACTGGGTGTCTTAATAGACCCTTTCCTCCCATCTCTTTTACCACTAGCATGGGAGCCGCCTCACTAGCTCGGCTGAAACCTCGTTCCGCATAATGCCCCAGAGGCGCGTAACCGATAGGGGCTCGAGGGAGGTACACGCTAAGGAGCTTGGAAGTCCTGCATTCTTGGCCTTTGTAGATAAGCGCCAAGTCGTCTTTGGTGAGCTTTTTGATCGACAGCGAAGCGTTTTGAGGAGCTGGAACAACCTCGGGCAGCAGGGACCAGAACTGGGATATACGAGGCGCCGCTTTTGAGTCGCTACTAAAGAACATTCCCAAGTTCAAATAGTGATAGCTGGAAGCCACGGACCAAAGGCTTGCCATCCGGGATTCTTCAATCCACACTCGTCGACCAGGGATTCCTGGTATGGCTGAGCTTTTGTGCACTACACACACGTTATCGTAGGACGGCGGCTCATAACTGGTTGTTGCCACGTGACCCAATGCAACGTAGTCTTCGCTAGGAACTTTGGGTCTCCAAAATGCCAAGATGTCGTTGTGACCGGAAGCCGACCCAGTGCTTCCCTCGCTTGTCTCAGGTCCTTCATCATCGCTATATCCGTTTCCACTTCCGGGACCTTCGCTGCTCCACACTTGGGCAAACCCCTCGGCTTCCGCGACGACCGTAGAGTTTTGTTGCATCAGAATGCACAACATGACTCCGTGGTTTGGTTTTTTAATGTCCCCCTCCTGTGCGTAGTCCCCAAGTATGCAAAATCCGGGGGGACAGTGAGGTCTATAGATGGTGAGTCCCGGACCACCAGTGTCGGTGTATATCTTGGTTGCTATGGAGACGATCATCATGGCAATGCCAGTGCCTGCCATCTTGTCTGGAACAAAAACAGAAAAAGTAGCGAGGTTGGCGATCTATCGGACTGCCTTACAAGAGTGTTAAAATATATTTTCTCCTTACAGCATCAGTATATTGTCAAACAGACCGATGATGAGAAATTAAGAACATAAACATCAGCTTCTTACATATTACTCAAAACTAGCATTAAAATAAGTGAACGGTAATCTATAAATATAACGGACATTTCAATCTTAGGAGTGAAAAAAAGATTGTCATCGCAGTTTTCTTTATTGTGAAAACATGCGCGTATTTGTGCAAGGTCAAAATTCGACCGTTTCCTGTACTACTACGTGCTGAAATTCCAGTCTATTTTTGCTGTTTACGAATTTCAATCTCAGACGCCTGGGCGCGACAGGGTTTGAGATATTTTGCCATTTCATACTATATTCTGTGAAGTCCGAATGTTTCAAGTGAACAGTTGTAATAATTTGTCCTTCTCTAGTTCTGTTATTTTCACATCTTTATAGGTGGTCCACTGGCGCAATATGTTATGTATCATTCACCCCATGAAATCAGTTATTTACTGATTTATTTTCACACTGGGTTCGTTATGCAAGTCTGTAAAGTTGCCAAATTTTTACGAGATGACGTATGTCACTGTTTTTTTTCTGGTCAAAAAGGGCACAGATTGTTTGCTCACATGGCGTGCTCTTGACTGGCTCAGACAACAAAGGCCAGCTCTTATTGGTTGTGGGAATGTCAGCGAACGTTAGCAAGTTAGTTGTACTTTTAGCAGGTTATATGTTTGGCAGGTTTTGTGAGATAAAAAACGCACCCGTGACCCACAACGTTGTTTTCAATTTTGTGCTATTTCTTGAGAGTAGAACGAGTCAGGGCCCCAGAAGATTTTCTTGTTTGCTCCTACGCGTTTCATCTACGATTCTACCAATTTTTTTTTCCGATTTTGTCAAGAGTGAGTTTCAAAACTACCTCGTCGTAGCTAACACGTGTTCTATGGTGTCGATAGCAGACCATTTGTAGTCTTTCAACCAGTTTAGATCGTAGTTGGATAAAAGTTAAGTGTCGATTGATGCCAAGGACCTCAAGTAATTAACTGACGGTGGCATTGCACAGAGCCAGGAGAAAAAAAATCACACATGAAAGCACCTTCAAGTCTAGCAGATATTCCATGGCATGTTTGGTTGTTTTGATGCCATGCCAGCACCATGCCAGCGCGATTAGACAACCGCTAAGCGTTCTACTGCCGTCAATAGAGCTTTTGTTGTGTGTGCTTTCTTTATAGTTATTTGCTTACACTAAATTCTCCGCGTTTTTTAGGCATATGAAGATTTTATTCCAGACTTGTGAAACGAGAAAATTCTGCGAATGTTTTGCATTTGCCCTTAAGCATGGCATGCATGAATTTTTCCTTATTTTTGTTTGAAAACCATTTTTTTAAATATTTATCTTTCGATTTTACTACATTGCAAAAATGTTTTGACATGCTAATGCTGGTCACAATGCTTGGAGTGAACTAAACAGAGGTTCACAAAAATTGTTAACTCCAAACTTTAACTGATGAAACTCCTGACTTAAATAACAAAAAAAAGTCAATCTTACATCTCATAGGCATCTTAATTTCCACCCCAATCTCTTCGATAAAGGCCAATCTATAAAAAAATCATTTGTATCTTTGTTGTGTTTGTTTTGCGTTTCCTTACTCAAACAAACCAATAAGCTATGGAGCAAGTTTTGGCTTTATCAGTGTCAAATGTCTGTGGGAAACCTGATTCAACTGAACTGCTAAAAGAAATGTTTGGCTTACGACTGCACTAGTTACATAAACTTGGATCGGGACCTTTCTGTAGATCACCTACGGGTGAGAAAGCTTCCCGTTAAAATATCATTATTAACTTGTTCAACCAGTTTGTCTCACTATTCTATCATGTTCACAAATAAATCCAAACACACGAAGATCGTGTGTTGAGCGTGGAGTGCAAAGGAATTTTGGAGAGCTTTATTTTCAGACCGGATTTTGTAAGAGGTTTACTCGACGGAAATTGCGTTTTTCTTTGTCTGCTTCAATTAAACACGACAGACTATTTTAGAACTGGTATTTTAGAAACGCTGTGCAATAATAGGCAATAAGTAGACTCTATTTTGAGATTTTTAGGATTTTGAACTGTTTCAAGTCCCTAAAGAAATCCATTTAACTAGTGTTCTACGATAGAATTCCAGGTTTGAGGATTTAAGAATGAACACAAACCCTGCATGTGACGTTCTCTCCAGTGGAAGAATGTTGGGAGGGGGGTGGGG